GTTATATATTTAAGATAATTAAAATAGAATTGATGAAACTACGTGCATAAAAGTTTAGGAACAGAACATTCCTTTGTTGATCACGAAGACTTGTGAAAAATTCCTCTAATGTAGCAAACCTCGACAATTAGTTGATCGTTCATAGTGGGTGTTTCTATATGAATGGAATAAAATTGTAGCATGACAAAACTTACCTCTTATTATATGATTGTTATTCAGCACGCAGATCCCCAGTCTCCAGATATTAAATCTACTGTATGCTAAACCAGCTGAAAAGATCACTATGTTTTGGGATTTGGACTATAATAATAATAATATATTCCTTGTGAAATTACATGTTTGCTCATTGTGCCAACATGTGTTGAGCGTTTATTTTATGCTTTATTTTCTGATCCATCAATATAGTGCCTAATCTAGTCTCCAGTTTTATATTTACAACTTAAATACAAAGTGATATTATAATTCATTATAACATCACTGAATGTCCATATGCCCGATATTTATTATATATTTTGAGTCAAAGCAGTCCTTTTCTGATCCTCTATTGTCAGATTTCACATGCATTATGCCGTTTTTGCATAAATGCACCGATGAATGACGCTATTGTCTCAAAGATGCTGACACCTCCGTCAATAAGAACGCTGCGTCCCAAAGACACCTCGATGATACCGCTGTCATAAAAATACTATTGGTGTTGCCGGATCTACATTTAGAAACCTATTTTAATTTTCCTATTTCTAGATTGTTTCTAATTATATCAAGTCTTTGTTTTTTCTTACTTTCACCCGATGAGTGCCTCACTGATAGTAAACCCCGATAATTATATAATTGATATTAGGCACCATCACTATGCATTTCATCAAATTACACTAGAAAAGGAAATATCTAAATTACGTTAATAGTACACTGCATACAAACAAAGCTGAAGATTACAAATGTGATAAGATATTATAGTATAGCTAAAAACACTCTGTATTCGAGGGGAAATTAGCAGACATTAATATTAGTTTTAATAAAGAAATGAAAGATCAGAACTCGTTTTATGGAGTAAAATTTGATCAATCTTGTTTCCTACAAGTTTGTGAATTGTCACGATAAAAGTTGACGCTGATTGAAACCCCCAACATATAATTCAGTTAGAATTTCATTAAATAATTTGCCTGGAAAAAATCAATTAAGTTTTCCCAAACTGGCCCTATATTTTCACGAACAATTCTCTATACCCTCTGGTCCAAATAATTCTGTGCGTTACTATTTAATACTCAATTTTTGGCGATGATTAGAATGCTGTTATCAAAAGAACAGTACTCTATCCATTACTTGTTGGTCTTTTCCTATCACCAGTCCTTGATTTATTTATTTTTAGAATCGGTAACGCATAACCAAAGCTAAAACCGATAGGCAATTGTTTTTATACTCAAAACGTTGTGACATATTGATGTAAAAAAACTAGTCTGAAAATACATACTAGTTTCCTTTCTTGTGCAAGAGGGTGAGCCCATCTGTACATTTTCTTTAATACATGTAAATACTGACTAGGTTTATTATAAATGTGCGTGAATGGATATTTTTATGAAGCTCTGCGATAAAAAAGCAGAAGTAATAGTTAATATATAACTCTGTTTTTGTAAGCTTGTTACACGTCGCACGAAACTGGGGACAATTAGAGTAACATTATGGCGTCAAAATACCAAACAATACAATGGGCAGTATAGGGCGCAATCAGCATTATAACGTCAAAAACGACAAGCGTTACATTTTGTCAATTTTAGTCAACCTAGAAATAAGATGCTTTATTCTTATTCAATCCTGGTAAAATTCACAGAGCAACAAGATCTCGAGGACAATATTTCTAAAATGTTTTTGATTTGTGAAAAACGGTCAGGAAATCCACTCGGGGCGTTAGCAAAAATTGATATGTATGGGATTTGTGGTAAAAAATCGATGCGTTACATTTTTTCAAGTCTCCAAAAGCAACTCTTATTTTCTTATTATTTGAAGAATAAAGAAATCGGTTATTGTTTTGTAAATTTCGCCATGACAATATTGTGCAGTTAAATTTTTTTTGAAATCAGACCTAAATTAGAAGGTTAAATAAAAGTAAACTTATTGCTAGTCTCCTTCGTCTTCAAAACCTTACACAATTTTGAAAATTTTACAAGCGTTCATATAAGACGATTTGAACTGTAGCCGCTAGGCAATTGTGACGTCATAAAAGCACATGTTTCAATGAATAAAATGTGAAATTTTAGTAAAATTCTGATCAGTATTTCAAAAGTTATCCCGAATTCAACGAACCGTGTAAGCATGGAATGTTACGTCTTACAGTGTATTTGACGATGTCGGAGTACATTTAACTTTAAAAATATGGTAGATCTCATCAAACTTTTCAAGGAAAAATGATTTCAGTGAAATGCGAATAAAAAACACTTCAAAATGATATATAATGCACATAGTTAGCTTTTTAAATAAGGCAGATATTAACGCTTAAAGCTGAGATTAGCCCGTATTTCCCGAATTGTCCCCAGGTCCGTGCACGTCATATGTACATCTTCTATTAAATTGATTCGCAGATTTAAAATTTAAATTTAAATTCAAGATTTAATTATCATGCAAAGCCAACAAAAAGGCAACTAACTTACTGACCTAATTATATTTTTCATGAGATTTTAAGAGAATTGCACTATTTACCTCTAATGACTTACTTTTCTTTATTTTTGATAGCATATTTTAATTAAGCGACAAGTTTTCTCCAATAATAGCTTTGATATACACAGTTATGTTATCTAAATCATTTCCATGACATTTAAAAAAACTTGGGGCAAATCTCCATTGGTGCAGTGCTAAAATTCATTAAAACCTTGGCTTATTTGTTATTTTGGCAACCAACATTTTCATGTTTAATCACTATTTATTGCCAGGGTCATCCATTAGTATTAGTCATTCGAGTTTCAGACAGATTAAACCAACACTTTTTGATAAATCATGAAATTAAGTGACAATTGCAAATTTCTAGCATTGAAGTGAATGGAGGTCTGGCCCAAGAAAATCAAAGACAAACAAGGGTGACATCTATTATGTCAGCTTTATTCAGCTATTTAGAAAATATGCAATTCGCAAGCTAAGGCTGCGTTTAATGGATTCGTTATGTGAGGAGGCCTTTATGAACTTTGAAACAATAAACTTGAATTATTCCGATCCAATGTTCTATGGCGCAGAAGAATTAAAATATATATTGGAAGATAGAAAAAATGATATTCACCTTTAACAATAGAGGACATAACAGGATTCACTTTATTTTTATTTTTGGACAGTCAAATACCAAGGGCATAGTCTAGGTCGATTGAATATTTTTCTTATTTATGAGATTCTGACACAACACTACACTTATAGAGTTTTGAAAAGTAAGATAGCAAAGACCATGCTAAAAGCCTTAGTCTTTTGCAGTTGAAAGGTATTCCTACCAAAATATCCGAGTCAAAAAAGCCTAGGCCAATCTAAGAGTCTGAGTCTTAAAGTGGACTCTGTTGAATTTCATACTCTTTTTACCGATTTTATTTTTAGAATTATGAAATACAGTGTTCCCTGTGAGACATATGTCCCTACTTGCAAATTTAGTCACACTGGGATTAGTTTGTGTCAAGTAGAATAGATAAAACTGCTTAAAACCTTAGAATTAGAAACACAAGTCAATAAACATAATTGATGAAATGTTCTGTCGCCATCTATTGCCGACCATTGGAATTAGTTATTTGTGCCTCTCATTTCTAAACAGTTTTCTAACTAAATAGATGTCAGGTTCATATTCCCCTCTTTCAGTGTTAATTTTGCGATTGTGCCGACCGAACTAATTATTTTGGCGGAGATCAGTTCTATCTGAAGTTTGAATATCCCGAGAAAATCCCCCTAATATCTGATTGGTCGTTAAATTTGTTTATCATGAACCTGATTGACTGCCTTGTTCAATCCTCATGTGGGCGCTTGTGTGACTCAACGGGGATTTCTTTGCTAGCCGAGGAATCGATTGTGTTTAATTCTGGAAGTTGGTTGTTCTGTTGATTATTTCAATATTTCGGCAAAAATATACCCATAAGTTATTTTCAAGATATATCAATGGTATGTGAGATATTATATGAGCAATAACAATGGGACATCATTGATCGTCTGGGCGAGAAACATGGTATACTGCATCTTTAAGATGTAACTCGGCGGTAAATATCACTTCCGGGTAGTGTTTTTTAATACTTTCAAAACGAAGCCATGCTAAATCCAATGGTGTGATACCTGCTCTTGTGTTATCCAAAACAATGATTTACCCCAAATATTAACATGCCGTCGTCGAGTTTGTATTTACCGCCATTGTCACTGGGGATGAACTGGAAACGAGGGAGGTTTTGCCTCGTATCAAAATGGCGGCGCGTGAAAAAATTTCATTCGGTAAGATTTTTGTTTTTTACAATTTTCGTGCTTTTATCCTTCAAATTAAAACTTAATATTTGGCAAGTAAATAGTTCATAAGTTCCGGTTTTATAATATGATTACAAATTAGAAATCAATACTGGCATTGCTGAGATATTTACATATCAATTCTCTCACTTAGGAAACGAGGCATGTTTCTCAAGGAAACGAGGCAGCTATATAGCATTCTTAAGAATGAAACGAGGCAACCATATTTAATTAAAAATGTTTTGTTTTTACAGAACGGGGCCTATAAAAAGAAGCGTCCCTGTTCATTTAAAATCACCATGTGGCATGTATTTTTAGTTTATTTCCTTTAAAATTAGTTTTTTACAGTTATTTTAAAGAAAAAAATCATCCCGTCCCTCATCAGCATTTTAGATAGACAAAAAGGTAATATAAAAACCGTCATTCCCGTATCAATTTTGAAAAATAGAAGAAAGAGAAACAACTAATTTAATTACCCTGGCCTAACATAAAATTTATATGTATATCTATGTCATCAGTCTATACATGCGCGTATAGTGATACATTTGAACAAGATGGTTCTGGAAAGAAATGAGCGTGGCAGATTTGCTAAAAAGCCACATACACCACAAAAGCAAGACCAATTTGAAAGTAAGTTCATTATTCTCAAGGGTACACTTCAAGTGAAAGCTACATTGCTACAGGGTGGCCTATCATTCTGAGACAAATGTATTATCCAACGATTGTGATTTTCGAAGCTAAAATATGATATCTTGAGCAGATGGAAATACATTCCCATGAGATATGTATATATAGTAAAAAGTGATAACTATTTATTGAGTGTAATGAAATGTATCCTTCGCTAACTGCTTTTGTTTGAGATAATTATCATGAAATATTTTTAGATTAATTTTTATGTGTGTCATTGATCCTAATCCACCCTGTAGTCTGGTGTTTGTAGAGCATTGCACCTCGTACAACTTATTCTCACAAATATCAAACCTCATTTACTAATTAATTTTTTGTGTGAATATGAAGAGTTCAAGCATTGCTTTTTTATGTTTACTGTATAGCTATATTTAGCCTTGATATCCATGATTTATTAAAACAAAATCTCACCGTTAGATTTCGAGCTATTCATGTTTACTCATTTTTCTAATTGGAAAACAATGCAAATCTCATTTTTTCAAAGGAAAAAAATTGAAATTCTAAGACGGTGAAAAATCATTAAAAAATACACAGATTCAGAATCCGGCAAGCATTTTCCCTTATTCCTCTCCGTTAAGAAGTTTTGTAAGGTGGTGGATCCCTTTAACTCTTACATATATAATCATGTATATCGTGTAAAACGTAATCGGTCGTATGTGACCAGAACGGTGGAAATAAGATCATTAAATGTAAACACTATCACAGAAAGAATAGTTGCCTCGTTGCAAGTCAAACATTGCCTCGTTTCATTGTTACAAAATGTAGACAGGTGCCTCGTTTCCTAAGTGAGAGAATTGAAATGTAAATATCTCAGCAATGTCTGTATTGATTTCTAATTTGCAATCATATTATAAAACCGGAACTTATAAACTATTTACTTGCCAAATATTAAGTTTTAATTTGAAGGATAAAAGCACGAAAATTGTAAAAAACAAAAATCTTACCTAAAGAAATTTTTTCAAGCGCCGCCATTTTGATACGAGGCGAAACCTCCCTCGTTTCCAGTTCATCCCCAGTGTACAGCAATAATGCGCTGTAACCTTGTTTGTTTTAAATTATGAGACTCGCAGTCCGCGGCTGTGTCATCAGCAAAAATTCTGACACAAGGGTCGTAGAGATTTCTCTTACCATGCTAGGAAGAGTGCATGAGAAAGGCAAAGGTGTTGCTGCAAGCCACCTATTTATTGTGAGATCATGACTAGAATTAGAGGTCTTTCTTTATAGCCAGCTGTTTATGACCTATAACAAATCTTGGCCTTCCTGTATATATGAGACAAGAAAAGTTGAGACAAAAAAAGTTGACATGATGTACGTACATGTAAAACTCGATGACATAGTAATCTACCCTTTATGTTTATGTTTTTCCTATTTATCAATATTTATTCTACTATTTAAGGATTAATGTCTTCTGTTTATTTGAAACATAGATATACGACTTTCTATGTTGATTGATATTCGCATTATCTTCTAATTTCAACATCCAGCGACTGTTTTTTTGTATATTCTTTAATTCATTGTTGTCACAAATATGAGGATCCTCGCAGTTATTTCGATACTTCAAGGTAAGAAGAATCTCATTATTCAATATTTAATATATATACTCGCAGATGGGTACTATAAATCCATTATAAAACACAATTAGAAATATATTATATATATGGTAATACGGATTCATTGTAATGTTGGGATAACTCTATATAATGCAAAGTGTTTTGAATCGTAGACTTTCTCTACCATTTTTATCTATTTTCCCCTTTTCATCTCGTTAAAAGCTCACACTACATGGAAATAGTTTACAAAGTTTTTTCTTTACTTTTGGAAAAATAATTTGAACAAAATGAAAATACACCTACTTAATTGAAAAAATATATGGCGGTTTATATTGTGTATTTCCTATTGCCCCGCCTCTTTTAATCGACGAAAACACTCTAGGCGATTCCATCCCCTGTATACACCCCATGCAGACAGATCGCCTAAAATTACATTCGTATGATGCGAGACTCGACATTCACAAGGAAATTAGAAACATTTTCCCACCCGCAAATTATTTTTTAATAGATGGTGAAAAACAGCCAAATTAAGTTCTATAAGTATGAGAATAGCATGATGTCTTGATATTTCATGGCAACGTCGTTTGAAAAATCCGATTCCCCCTGGTAGCATTAACATTGGTCTCGTATATATTTGATACGCAACTATTATTCGAACTTATGATCGGTCATTAGTATGATAATAGTATTAACAAATTAATTTGCTCCATGGGTGACAAATTATTTCCTGGTGAATGTCGAGTCTCACATCATACACATCATACGAATGAAATTTTCACCAAGAAGGGGAGACATATTTGGCGATCGGCGGTTGGCGGGCGGCGGTTGGCGTCTGTAACAAATACTGTTTAGACTGCTTTCAATTTTTTTTTCCAAATCATCTACAAGTTTTCAAAAGTTCGAATCTTACTTTAATTTTAAGATTTGACCTTCAATGACCTTTTCAAAGTCAAAAATGTAAAAAAGGTCTGTTATCAACTCGCTTCAAATTGACCAAATCCTTTTTCAAAATCATCTACAAGTTATCAGAAGTTCAAATCTCACTTTAGATTTAAGATTTGACCTTCAATGACCTTCTCAAGGTCAAAGAAAGGTCAAAAAGGTATTTTTTCAACTTGCTTCACATTGACCTATTTTGTTTTTCAAAATCATGCACAAGTTCTCAAAAGTTCAAATCTGACTATAGATTTGACCTTCAATGACATTCTCAAGGTCAAAAAGATTTGACCTTCTCAAGGTCAAACAGGTCTTTTTGAACTTTACAAAATCATCTACAAGTTCTCAGAAGATTAAATCTGACTTTAGGTTTGAGATTACACCTTGAATGACCTTCTCAGGGTCGAAAAATGTATTTTTCAACTTGCTTCAAATTGACCAATTTTTTTCTCAGAAATTCAAATATCGGACTAAGATTGAACTAATAATATTCTGAGCAACTAGGTGGTTAAATTTTGTCATGTTAATGCTTTATTTTATCATACAACGTGCGTTTTTATATAACGTTATTCCGTGTTTTATGAAAACTAGATTTTATGCTGTTAATACGTAGAATGATGTTTCGTGTTAATTGTTTTCATTGACATATTACGACGATGAAATTTAATATATAAGAACTTTTATTTTCAGGCATTATTGTTGCCAATGGCCAATCAACCATATCAAGTAAGTAGTTCATATGGCGACTTTATTCAATGAATATACAAATTGATTATAAATAGTACTTTCATAAATGGGGGTCTTTTTCGATAAAGGTGCAAAAATTAGTCATTTTGTCTTTTAAACTGGATTTAAGATGAGTAAAAATCATTTGTGGTGTCCTTTTATATCACATATATTGGAAAGATAGTACCTCAATAAATTTGCCAACTGCAATAGTACGAGAATTGGTAAAATTATTGGGATGATATGGAAACCCTGGGCGAAGCATGTTATACAAAACATGAGTTAAATGTAGCTTGGAAAAGGAAAATACAAAAAACGAAATCGAGGCTTTTGGGTGGTGTTTTATTCCAATGATTCGGACATTTAGATCTCTGATATTTTTTAAATTGCCGAACTAAGCATGCTTTCAAATACGATTCATAAGGGATTTCCGGTTGCCTAACTTGTAAAGAGTGTATATACTCGTATGTCGCCATTTGCGAAATCAATAAATTCTATTTTCTGTTATAGTATGTGTTCCAAGAGTTTCCGAGGCCCAAACTCTCCCATTCTATTTAGCGTTTGAGCTGAATACTTGTGCACTCCTCTTTATGGATGCAGCATTGGAATTTGATCGAATAGTAAGTATTTACATGTTTATACTACTCTGCTCATCATATTTTGATAAACCTTTATGAGCTTCAAATCCCTGTACGGTAAAGTAAATGTAACGAACATTTGGATAGAGGTGTAGATGCAAATCAAAGTTGTTTTAATGATAAAACTGTACACAAGATTCAAATATGCCTTCAAATAGAAGAAAAGGTTGGTAGTCCCTGATCTGATTTTCAAAAGGGCTCTAGAAAAGGGGTTTTACTGTCCGGTACGTTCCCACATAAAATGATTGTAGCGTTTGAAACCTATAACATACCTATAACATAGATTTTCCTGAAATCGCGATGACAAGATTTATCTTAAAACTTCCAAGATAGCCACCAGAATGCAAGATTACCACCGGAAAACCAATGAGCTCTAAGACTTCTTACCATGTAACATGTGTGAGAATTTGAAGTAATTATGTTCAGTGGTTTTCCTGGAATCAAGATGACAAGATTTATTAAAAAAACTTTCAAGATGGCCGCCAAAATACAAGATGGCCGCTGAAAAGTTAATAAGCTTTAGAATTTCTTACCATGTAACATGTGTGAAAATTTGAAGTAAATCCCTTTGGTTTTCCTGAAATCGTGATGACAAGATTTATGTTAAAACTTCCAAGATGACCGCCAGAATGCAAAATGGTCACCGGAAAACGAATGAGCTCTAGGACTTCTTACCATGTAACATGTGTGAACATTTGAAGTTCATTTGTAAAGTGGTTTTCTGACATCGCGATGACAATATTTATCTTAAATAAATTCAAAGATGGCCGCCAGAATGCAAAATGGCCGCCGGAAAGTTAATCAGCTCTAGAACTTCTTACCAAGTAACAAGTAAGTAAGTAAGTGAAAATTTGAAGTAAATCCGTGATGACTATAAATGGGATTATTTGACTATGATGGTATCGTGATGACTAGAAATTGAGACTTCAGAATGCCACCTTGTCTTACCCAATTTTGGTGCCTTTTGCCCCTGTTTCTATCAATATAAAAGGTGTTTTCTTTATGAGGGAAGTCTGTTCTATCAAACGGTACAATCATTTTATGTGGGGAAGTACCGGACAACAAAACTTGTTTTCAAAGGGACCAGATCAGAGACTATGGTCTTTAGTAAATTGTAGATCTCCTAAGATTCAATTGCAATTAAGACGAGACTTCAACGAGATTTCAAAACTATTAAGCAAACTCCTTTATTACAGTCGATGTTTTTTCGAAGGGATGATATCGCACTTGAGAGAACTTCGAGGGCTTTTCGCGATGCTGCTCACAACGAACGAAGAAGAGCTGAGATGATCCGTAGTTATCTAACAGAGAGGGGAATGTGTTTAGAATTTCCTGATGTTCCTACTATTATCCCAGATCCAGTAATACCCATTAAGCAAATGAAATCCTTTACCAATATAATGTTAAATGAAATATTTTTGCACTTAAAGTGTTTATTCATGAATTGTATAAAAACATAAAGAAAGCGCTGTATTTTTGCGATGTCGTTGATAAATAATTACATCATAGTTTCCTAATGTAAAAACTTTAAATTGTTTTTAATACTGTCCTCTCTAGATTGGCAATCAAGACTGGACCCTGAAAGATGCTTTCATTTATGCAACTGATCTGATAAGCCAGACGAGAGAGTGTGTTAACCAATTTGGACAAATTGCAGCTAATCCGGGAAATAATGATACATCAGATGCAGCGGTGAGTGATTACAAAATGAAATAATCTCAGCTGGTAATACACGCTCTAGTTCATATATTTGTTAAAAGTGCAATATAATTTTAACGTCGAATTTGTGTTCAGCAGTGTCTCAAAAAAGGTATGTAAAATGTTATAGGAATACATCAATTTAATAATTACAAAAGGTTAACTCTAAAACTGAAAAATATTTTAAACCCATAAGATTATGTGCAGTATATCCCAGAATTTATTTAAGGGCGTCATTTTAGAGAAGTCCAAAGTCTATTTAAACATTACCATGAGCTTTCTCTTGGAATTTCTCTTGGCATTACCAATAACAAAAATACTAACTTTACTCTACTCAGTAACTTGCTAACGAAGTTATACTTTATTTTACTTCTTTATATTACATTGCATTATATGACATTACAAATACATTACACGTTATCATGCTCACTAGCAATATTAATCATGGTTTAAGGAATGACGTACGCGTCTTGGACTGAATGGCGTCGACATTTTATATTATGCTTATTTCTCTTTTACAGACGGTTTTATTCTCCTCTCTTATGGAACGAGAGCGTTTGATTGTTCAGAAACAGGTAGCTGATTTGTTTACAGAGGCAACATATGTTGATCCAAGCGATTCTCGACAATGGGTATTCGACAGCTTGGCTAATCTTAAATTCGAGAGGATAAAAAGAGGGAGAAGAAAATCTCCCAAGGCGTTTGTGTGATGTACATGAAATCATGCACATTTTATCTATTTTAAAAGGTACATTATCGTATTTCAAATTCTGGGAAAGGATGCACTTATAGTCACATGCTTATATGGTGAGGGAGAAGAAATTTGGATGTGAAGGCCGGTGATAAAATGATGCAATGATATGGATAAATCGTCAGTACATTCACAAAATTAAAAATTGAGTACATTCGGAAAGGATGATAAACGGTGTTTGAAATAAATGTTTTTAACAGGCTTGATTCGCATATTTCAATATAAATTAAAAAAGGTCCGACAAGGTAGGATGCTGATGATAAATAATTGTCTACAGTGGGAATAAAAATAGATGCACAGAAGATATATTTTGTTTTTAAAAATGTATTGCAATATTACGACTGACATTTCGTATACAATTACTGGCTGACATTGTATGATGTTATTGCCAGAGATCCGTTAAGTTATCTAGCAAAATAATGTACTCTATCAGTCAATGGAACTCCAAACAAAAGTAGTTTCATAGATAATTCGAGCAGCCATACATCTTATTAATTTCTAAGATATCAATATGACTGAGAAAATCTCGCTGGCCTATCTTCTTGGATGTATCGAGTGATACCAGTGTAGGCTTCCCATTTGCAGTGAACGCATAATTGGAGTAATGCATGACAGAGCTGTAGTCATATGGTGTTCCCATTTCTATTACCGCTGAAGAGATCTTACCAAATGCACCGAGCAGACCTGAAATGTATAGTGCACTGTGTTTGAACTCTTCGAACCGATTTCGATTAGGATTGCTAGAATAACTATTGTATTCATCATCTGCATTTTAACATCAGCTTGAGGGATTTTAAGCCCAGTATACACAAATTGGGGAAATCCCACTTACCCCATCGAGTTCCATCTTGCCCCACCGAGTCCCATCGAATCCCAACGAGTGCCATGTGAGCTTGATAACTTTGCCCCATCGAGACCCATCTTGCCCCATCGAGTTCCATCTTGCCCCACCGAGTCCCATCTTGTTCCATCGAATCCCAATGAGTCCCATGTGAGCTTGATTACTTTTCCCCATCGAGTCCCATCATGCCCTATCGAGCCTTTTAGAGTCCCATCAAATCCCACCGTACCCGATTGGTTTATGTTGGGCTACATACAACAAGTCACACGATCTAAAATCCCACGATGCCACATGGAAAGAATGAACATGTTCATTCTCGATGGGGGAAGATGGGACTTCGTGGGATTTTGCCCGAAGTTGCACTATCGAATCCCACTGAGTCCCACGTCGGACCTCATGGGTATCGATTGGGCAAGATCGGGCAAAATCCCAAGAAGTCCCACGAGGTCCCACGCAATGTCAAGTCTATGGAGGTCCCAACTTGCCCCATTGGTGTATACTTACTGGGCTTTATCGATGTTTCTGGCGTCTTGTGGACTACTGGACTACTACATATTTAAAATGACATTTTTCTGTTTTCTTAAATTTTCTGTGACAATTTGAAGGCAACACGCGATATATCGACATTGTCTTTTGTATCAAATACAGTAGTATTATAGTACCTGGTAAAATGTTGTTTTCTTGAACGCTGATATATTTGTCCCTATCGGACCGCATATGTTCATGGTAGAAACCGAGGGCATGCATGATTTCATGAATGGGGGTCCCAACAGTGAGTGTACAATTTACACCGAGTGAAATGTCCTGGGGCCTCGCATCATAATTTCTTCCCGGCTTGGAAGAGCAACTGAATACATGCATGAAAATGCTATAAGTTAAGAATAAGAAGAGCAAAATTTCCCAAACTCGTCAGTGAGCCTACGGCAACCCTTCATATTCTTAAATCTTAGACTAAAAGCTTAATTCTGTAGCTACTGAAAAAATAAATATAGCTTGCAAATTGTTGGATTTTTATTGACATTCTCTTTGGAATGAATATTCCTGTAATTAATCATTTAAATCAAAGCCATATAGAACTGATAAAGTATCAAAACGTCTTGAAGAGTAAAATATCAAAACAACATTTTCATCATTTAAATAACATTATTTAACTGGACCTCTACACCTAAGGTCAAGGATAATACATATAAGAAGTTGCCTGGGTATTTGTTCTTAACTATTATCATTTTTAGACATTTGCTGAATATACGTTCAAATACGGAACGTGAAATTCTAGCTCGAGTAAACTATTCGGTATAAGCAACAGTTTGAAACGAAAGCCCAAATGTTCATTTTTCACTTGAATTCTGACTTACCCATTTCCATATCTGAATATGATGAACCGTTTATCCGCATTAGATCTCTTTTTAAATTTGATGCACGTATGTTCACTTATATGAGCCATCGCTTTCAATACCTGTTGCTTTGGAGTAGTTTTACAACCATCTGTTAAAATTGACACAGTACGAATTGAATAATAGTTAATAGTTCAATACAAATTTGAACCAAATGTACTTATCTTTCAGAAGTACCCTTTCGCATGAATATACAGGGTATCTGTAAAGTCTCTTTACAATGACAATACAAATATTGTGGAAAGTGGAATGCGACTTTATGGACACCATGTACATTTCTACTGAGAGACAGCATTTAGAATTCATACAGTACAGTTATTTTAACGAGACTGAAGACTTGGTTTTGTTATATCCCTTCTGATTCCAAAAAACTCTAAGATTCCAAAAACTTTAACTGCAATATACCCTCGATGGGATATTTCTGTCTCTGATGAATATTGAACAGGGCAATGGAATATAATATAAGTTGCATGACAGATGAGACGAATTCATTTTTGATATTGTGAATTTCCACATGTTTCTACAGCTATGTTGATCTCGGTTTTATGGCTTCAATATTTGGGGAATATTGGTAGAAACCAGAATTTTCTCTCGTCCCCAGATAACTTCCTGGCGAATTGTTGTACGTTGTAAAACGGCAACCCTGCCGCTATTTTCCTTATATCATTGTAATTCTAAACAATTGCTCCCCGATATTTGGCACAAGTGTACATCATTCAATTTCCTACCAACCTAACATATTTCAAGACCATGAAACTGATAGTCACAATGTTACAGCACAACAGTTACTACTATTGCGATGAAGGCAAGCCTGCACACATTGTCCAAAACGTCCTAACTTGACTTCAAGATAAAGTGTACAAGAATGTCCTCAGGACAATTGCAGACCTCGAAAAGGAGATCATATAGGAATATCCTATGGATTTGAAAAAATATCATTTATATCCATGAGTGGATATTGATATCTTCATGAGTGAGCGCAGCGAACGAGTATCCATTTTTGTATTTGTATACATGAGTGGATATAATTGATGTTTCCATGGGAAATCAGCATCGGCGAAAAAAGTGGAAAAATATAATTTGAGAAAAAATTTGAAAAAATAATTGAAAAAAATTGTGAAAAATGTGAATTGTGATTTTTTTAAATATTTTTGAAAATAATTATAAAATGTAAAAAGAATTCTTTTTGAAAAAATTCGAAACCATCGAATATCACTTTTCAAACCATCGAATATCACTTTTCAAACCATCGAATATCACTTTTAAGACGTGATATTCGATAGCTTATAAGTGATATTCGATGGTTTGTGAATTTTTTGCTAAAATATGATATCTAAATATGATCTTCATGTGATATTCGATCTATATCCTTGCAACCATGGAATAATTAGAGGTTATGTCACTATCGTGGCATATATGCCCGAGGTCTCAGTGATATATGGCCCGACCTTGGGAGGGACATTGATCTCTGAGAACCGAGGGCATATGTGCCACGATAGTGACATAAACGATTTATAACATACCTATGATGATGTAGACTGGTCAGAGAGTACCGTTTTCTTATAGAATTGACAAACAAATGGTTTGAAAATGATTGAAATGAGTTTAGAAAAATTGCTCGCGCAGTTTTATCTTCGATTGATTGGTTATGACGTCAGCGCCTTGACCAATCAGAAAGTTAGCGGGCGCGGGCTTTTCAAAACTTATATTGGCCCGCTATCTTGTGTACACTTTGCACTATACATCATCATAGGTATGTTATAATTATTGTTATTCAGGCCATTCAGTGCCATTGACAACTTGTGCGAAGGATTGCCTTCAGCACGATGATGACCACACGGAAGGAATGTTGTTTAAAGTGCTGTAACATTGTTACTATCAATCTGAAGGTCATGAAATATAATAACCCCATAAGAAATTGAATGATGTACAAATATATAAAATATCAGTGAATAATTTCTTCAAATGACAAAAATATGAGGAAAATGAAAGGGTGTCATTTTCTCTCACCACCCTGTATTTTGTGCACATTGACAGCAGTTTTGCGAATGAATGATGATCTTGCTTCAAGGATTTCACCTTTAATGGTACACATGTGTAGATCATGATTGGAAGATACAAACCTCCGTACGACTCATCCAATGATGCGAAATTAGGATCAAAATAATAGGGAACGATTCCTCCAGGCCAGCAGTAGTATTTACAGTAAAAGTCATTGAATCTGTTTCTGAACTGAAAATAAATATTTAATGTTTTTTTTAATTATTGGTAGTTAAGGATATACAGATCATATACAGGATGGGCATAAGTCCGTAATTTTATTTGGTGATAACTCTCTATACATGAATTTGGAAAACCGAAAATATTCATCGTATTCTTAAATCTTAAAATGTATCTATTTGCAATTATTGATGACCCATGTTGTAATTATGCTTTTTCGACTCTCAAAACCTAATAAAATTGTTACACCGGTGAATCTGAAAAACTGACTTCATTAGTATGACTATTGATTTATGTACAAGATGGTTTTTTCGGAACATTAAACGCTGCTATGTTTCCCTCATGTTTCTTACAATTTCCACCACGTTAAATTTATTTGATTGTTATTCTGTAATTGTTCTATCTTCTCGAACTATTTACCTTTCCCATATGTTTAAACCTGTGGATCACTTCATCCGGATCTATGTCGATATCGCCTTGGAAGTAATCTAGAATAAAAACATGGCTGGAAGCAATCGTTCAGAAAGTTTGACTTGATAAGTAGTTTAAATCTGACATACTTAGTTTAGTGAAGTTGACAACTCAGCAAGGATAGCACATATTAAAGATATACATATTCTAATCAATGAACATAAATTTTAATCTTCTGGAACCAAAAATTAATTAGATTTCGCGACAGCCTTATTGGATTGACCACACTGCTTGCGAGAATTTCGAAAAAGCAGATAAAAAGAACGTCATATTTTGTCACAGTTATAATAGAGGATGAATTAACTACATCTACATGTACATCTTAACATTCATTTGGTTTAATTACTTGTATATTCAAATATGCCAAGTGTGTGTGACATCACCACAGTGCATTATGGTTTCATAAAGAACTGGACAATGTATTTTATAAAGGATTGGTGGTTTATTTGAAGCTCAATAAAGAACACTGTTACATTGTGTATTGTATTTAAAGCATTTACTCATGTACTATATAATCCATCCTGATAATATACTCAGCTCGACCCTCGTGCATTATGTGTACGAGTTATTACATGTAATGTACATAACATTGTACGGAATTCTTTATTTCTTAAATGATACATATGACGTGCACGGACCTGGGGACAATTCGGGAAATACGGGTTAATCTCAGCTTTAAGCGTTAATATCTGCCTTATTTAAAACGCTAACTACATTTTATTCATTGAAACATGTGCTTGTATGACGTCACAATTGCCTAGCGGCTACAGTTCAAATCGTCTTATATGAACGCTTTTAAGATTTTCAAAAGTGTGTAAGGTTTTGAAGGCGAAGGAGACAAGCAATAAGTTTACCTTTATTTAACCTTCTAATTTAGGTCTGATTTCAAAAAAAAATTAACTGCACAATACTGTCATGGCAACATTTACAAAACAATAACCGATTTCTTTATTTTTCAAATAATAAGAGAATAAGAGTTGCTTTTAGAGACTTGAAAAAATGTAACGCATCGATTTTTACCACAAATTCCATACATATCAATTTTTACTAACGCCCCGAGTGGATTTCCTGACCGTTTTTCAAAAATCAAAAACATTTTAGAAATATTGTCCTCGAGATCTTCTTGCTCTGTGAATATCACCAGGATTGAATAAGAATAAAGCATCTTATTTTTAGGTTGACTAAACTTGACAAAATGTAACGCTTGTCGTTTTTGACGTTATAATGCTGATTGCGCCCTATACTGCCCATTGTATTGTTTTTGTATTTTGACGCCGTTACTCTAATTGTCTCCTGTTTCGTGCGACGTGTAACACCTATATAATATGTAACATAACCGTGGTATCAAATATAACATGTTCTAATGTTTTATATCTACTTTTTTTACTTACGGCCTTGTTCGTCTGGGTTTGGTAACATACTACCTGTAATAAATTTTATGCCCGAGTCATAAACCAAAATCAAAATATGATATGAAAATGTTAATCTACTATGATTCATAAATGAAACGATTAAATCAGTTTAAGTTCCTGAGATCAATTTCGGCCAAAGGATCTGGATGCGCATTAATTGAATAACCACGCATCGATATACTGACCTACCAAGCCTGTCTTCTCAAACTCTTTGTCATTATCACCTTCTTTATCAACATTACTCCCTGTCACAGCGTTGACTTCATTCACAAACGCAACCAGCAAGTACAAAATATATGAGTTGATATACTGAAACATATCTTGATCCAATTCTTTGTTGTTTGGGTGGACGTTATTTTATATGCCTCATTTTATATTACCTTTATGACATTTGGGTTCCACAGAACAAAAGCATCAAAGTAAATTAATTTAATAATTTTATCGTTTTCCCCCCTGAAACAAAGCTTATAATTAAATCATGATAAAGTACTAGCCCAGGTGTGTACGAAGATGAACAGATCGATGTACATTACTCGAGTCTCTAGCTTACAGCTAGACGAAACTTTATTGATTTCGTATGTACTGTGCTACACGCACCTACACGCACCTAGAACTCATTTTTAATAAATTTTATAAATATTTTTAAGAATATTAATCATATTTAGGATGAAGCGTTGCTTGTCTGGATTTAGATATTTCAAAATTTCATTTCGGAGTTTTCGACACATGGTGAAATTTTCTCGCTGTAGCTAAAAATGGCTTCCGGTTCTGGACGTGAATAACATTTGAAATTATTCTCGCTTAAAAAATCAAATATAACAGTAGATTCAGACGGGGATGTGAGCTGATGTTCTTCAAATCTATACATTAAGGTATATTTCATATTATTATGCCATATTTACTGTGCGTGTGACACAATGATTTACAATATTTATAATACTAAGGCAGCTCAATCTTCCTCCTCAAAGCCGGAATATAGAGAAGGCTTTGGACCGAAGTAAGATGTACACTACTCTCACCAAAGGTCAGTTGGAATTGGCAATTCTCGAAGGAACGTGTGGAGACATGCGTATATTGTATGTATTTGAAGCCATGTGGAAGATAACGTTACTCAGTAATGAAGCTGAAATACCAAATACCCAAATACTATAAGTTATTGAATGATTTGAAGTGCAATACAGGATATATTCTGCTCGAGATATTCCGTATTTGAACGAGACGAAGTCGAGTGCCAATACAGAATATCGAGACAGTATATATCTTGTATTGCACTTCAAATCATTCAAAAACGTTTTTATCGTGTGATCCTCTGTATTGCTACTGAGAATGTCCCCTCCGTACCAATATTTTCTGTATTTCGACGGAGATGATCAATGCGGACATTATCAGTAGCAATACAGATTGGTACAGCACAAGAATTGACCAATCAGAAGGCTTCATTTTACAGATCATACGATAATATGGTGTACAATTACGGAGGCTTAACCAGTAACTGGCCTATGATATCAACGGAAGAAAATATGCTACTTCCTCAATTTTTATTTGGAATTTTTAAACTAAGTAAACCAGTATCTCTCAAAAGGCTTAATCTTAAAAATGAAGACATTGAGTATGGTGACATCATTTTTGATAAAGAACCCGATGCCTCCACCGTCTTTATCACGATGGTTTGTACCATGTCGAGAAAATAAACCATGTGCAATATAAAGGGGGTAACTGGAGTCATTTGAAAATGATACAGCTATGGGAAAAAGTCAAACTTATTGGATTCAAGCGTGGGTTCTAATTCAACGTCAATCGATTTAATTTCGAAAAGGCGACAACATTAATACGGGCTTGTTTTCTAGAAACTTGTGCTTTTTGATATGGTTTTCATCTGTACGGTCTCTTTTCACCAATGTGTTTAGATTCATAACAAAACTCGTTCTTATTCACAATCAACGATTTCTTCTATGTTATATACTATTGTTGTGCAAACAAAATGAAATGAATGAATGTAAGTCTATGCCGGACAGGGTGGGCCATATTTCGCAGCAAGTGTTGCTTTATCTATCGGACTAAAATCAACCCTCTGTCCCATTACATTCCTACATGCTGTTGTCTTCCCAGTGATCGTATCCAGGGAAAACTTGTCGGTGCTATACGCATTGTGTGTATAGTGCATGACGGATCCGCAGTCATAGACAGGTGAATGATCCACAAAGTCGGTTGATACAACATCAAAATTAGATCTTCTGTCATTTGGACCTTAAAACATATGTATAACCATAATAGCATGTTCACTCGAACGGTGGAAATCAAATGAATGAAATAATTAAGGTCGTACGAGAAATCACATACTTGTCTCTACGTTTTCAAGGTGCACTGTAACCTCAGAATCCCTGTCTTGTCGCGTGTGCTCATGATAAAATCCAAGTACATGCATTATTTCGTGTAAAACAGTTCCCCTTTTGAAGGTGCAGTATGGTCCAAGATCTAATTTTTGTCCACTTTTCATTCTGCAGCCAATCTCAGCTTGGCAACTACAAAACACGTGTTATTTCATTGCTTACTGACTTCATTAAAAACGGTTTCTAGACATCTCACCCCAAGACAACTCATCCCAAGAAAAGCCATCCCTAAGACAACTCATCCCAAGACATCTCATCCCAAGACAACTCACCCCTAAGACAAGTCATCCCTAAGACAACTCATCCCAAGAATCTCATCCCAAGACAACTCATCCCTAAGACAGCTCATTCCAAGACAAGTCATCCCAAGACAAGTCATCCCTAAAACAAGTCATCCCAAGACAACTCATCCCTTAGACAACTCATCCCAAGACATCTAATTGATGACAAGACAAGTCATTCCAAGACAACTGATCCCACTTTTATCATTGATAAATAATTTGCCCTCTATATTATGTATATCCCGCTTTTTCATTTTACGATTACAAATAATATAAATATAAACAGGTAGTGTTTGAGCACTTGTTTATATTTATCCAAATCAATCAATAAAAAATAACTAAAACAAGGCTAAACTAACTACAAAATACAAAATATAAATACCTTTAAAATGAGACATCACTAGATCACACAAAAACAGATTATTAAGAATTCAAAAAATCAAACTCTTCAACGTCATATATTAAATCGCCATATTATTTTTACCACTTCTCAAGTGCATACTGATTATATCCGATATTATTCTTGGAATTAAGCAGTGTGTCAATGAACAGGAAAATCCTTAAGAATTCTTAGCTATGTTTATTGTACAGACCCGTAGCCCCCCCACAATATTTTCATGCAGTTTTTCACCATTCTGAGCACTTTTAAAGTGATTTTGGCCCAAAATTGTAAAAACTGAACCCCCTGGAATTTTCATCACTTTATCACCGCAACCCTAGGTGAAGCCTAATACAAAATAAGACGTTATGCCGTTAGCGTAGTATATGTTCTCCTTTATTATTCATTGCTTTAACAAAATGAAACTTAATACTCGAGTTAAAATAAATTACAAATAATTAATTTAACAGTCCTTAATATCTTCCCGTCTGTGAATATCAGTTGAATCTGACAGGGGGCTCTGTGAAAGAGTCTAGAAAGACGGTGCGACAAAGAGAGCGCAGGGCCGAAAGCGCGACAAAGAAGAAAACAGGTAGTGTTTGAAATGTCAACTTTCTGGTGATTCTAATTCTGTATATCGTGACATTTTGACTATAGAATTGTATTGTAGCATTAATCTGAACAAAACAAATTTTTAAGAAGATTCCACGAATATTATAACTATTGCAATAACTTGCAATTGGAGGAGCATGGCGCGCATTTTTGTTGGTAAATCAACGATTACAATGTTACGCCGTGACGTACAGTATCTGACGACGTATCACTATAAGTCATGATTACCTAATATGAAAAGGAAGTGAATGAATGATGAATGACAAGAAATAAAATAAAAGTTTGAGAGCAAAATTAGCTGTACAATACTGAAAGACTTGTACTTGGTATACATGAACATGATTATTATTCGAATTACGAATAACGTCCATTCAAATTGAAGATTATGATTACGTAAACAAACATGAGCACATATTTCCCAGAGCCGCGCATGCACAAAGTAAAATTTGAAATCGTGGCCATTGCAGTTTATTTCAGTTAAACACTATTATCTCTAAATTACGGTAATACTATTTAAGTTACGCAATCCAAACTTCTAGAGATCATAAAACCTGGGTACATTTGCTCCGATTCATCGGCTGGCGCCCGGGCGATTGAGTATTCTGGTCAAAACTGTACAAACAATTTTGAACAAAATATTCAATCAGCCTGAGGCCGGCCGATAAATCTGAGAAAATGTGACCCCGGCATAAAACAGCGAACATTTGAGATTAATTCCAATGACAAATGATGCCTGTTTCAAAATTATTTCTAGAATGTGACAGTACCGGAGACAGTACCAACATTCATCTTTGGGACCCCCCCCCCCCCGGTTTTATTATTAAGGACTCGATTATTCGTTTAAATGCATGGTACGTACCTAGCTCCATAGTCAACCAATACGTAGTATGGTGTTGTTGCTCCCTCAAATGGGAAAAAGTCTACGCACGCAACCTCATTCTTAATGTATGCAATTGCGTCCATAAAAATCTCGTAAGGTGTATGCGATCCGTTGCCTAAATAAATCAAATTTGAAAATTATGATTAAAAGTAAAAAATGAAAATTTTCCACCAAATACTAAATATATTTAATAAAATTGGACGTGTTTTAATCGGAATGCAGGTTGAGTTGTTTTTCACAGTCAATTGGTTTTAAATCACGAAATTGTCTGATAAGGCAAATAGACGATAAGGACTTTATACCATTGTTTGGAAAATAGAATTGAAAGGTATCCACAATTTTTAAAAAGTAGACCCATTTTAGATTGTCTAGGTCAAAATAAAGATTTATATTTAGTGTCAGAATTCTGATGGTTCTCTCTCCTCCTTTTGTTCGGAAAACTGGACGTCCCCTTTTGAATGACATATAAAAACCTGTTTTATTTGTTGCGATTATAAATTGTTAAATCGTCAACTTCCGAAATGTTCAATGACAAAAATCAAGATCAAACATTGACATGCTTTGATATGACTATCCATAGCCAATGAAAAAGGTTCGCGATCGGTTATCAACGGATTGGTATCGATATGGTGAACTGAATTCAACAATTTTTTTCTGAAACCAATTGAAAACATTCTGTAAAAAACACGGTCCTTTATGTAATGTTGACTGATTGACAACAATTTAATGCGAAAATAATTTATACATATTTTATATAACTGTTTTTGTTAACATTTTTTGTTTTTTAGTGCAATTGTTTTTTTGATCCGTTTTACCATTTCTTGAGAATGAAATATCTTTGCGAAGCTTGTTTAAACAAAATAGCATACAACATTTTCTTAGATTTCCCAAAATTATAGTTGTGCAAAGTTGATTGGTGATTCGTGATTTGGTTGATTTAACAAAAAGTATTCAAAAAATTAAAACAAAAACCCCCGAAATAGATAAAAACTAAAGACAAACCTTTAATTTCATTAACAAGATACTTTTTTAAATCAACCAAACTTTCCTTTGTACAATTACAATATTGAGAGACCTAAACACGTTGTGTTTTTGTCATTTTGTTCCAATGAGGCTCGGATAGATGTTTCATTTTATTCCGAACATATGATACCAAGAACTAAAGAAGTGTTTGATAAGTGTTGATCCTTTATGAAGGGGGGGGGGTGTATTTTTTATTCATGGATTACTACTTAATGCTACCCTGTAAATATAGATACATTTATATAAATTATTTAATAATCTAGATCTTTTATTCCTGCCATGATTCATACCTTCGGCTGCAGTTCTCTGCTTGAAGTCCGGGGTAACATAATATGGTATGCGCCCTAACCCATAGTAAATCCAACCGTAACCATACGTACCGCCATAACTAAAGTATGCACTATTGAATATTGACGTCCTATATTTCTGTTGGAATTAAAAATACATATATGGTATACGTATGCTCTTGCATTGTATTGGATTGTATTGTATTGTATTGCATTGTATTGGATTGGATTGTATTGGATTGGATTGTATTGTATTGTATTACAACCAATGAAGGTGAGCAATAATATGATATTATTTGGGAATACTAATAGAAACCATATAAGATTTTTATCCAAGACTTTCTACAACGCAATTGAGAAATTCCTGAAACACAAAGACGTTTTTATATTTCCTTGTAACACTTGAACATTGGCAATGAAACGTGTTGTAAAGTAAAGTACTGGAATGTGAAACGTGTTGCTAAGTCACGGTGTATAACCCAAACGCTCCTACATGCACGACGGAGCGTTTCATTACTGAAATTAAACAAAGAAACGCTCCAGAGTAGGAAAACTGGCTGGCGGGAAAGATGAGCCGTCTGACGATTTCCCCAATAATGCGAATAAGAGGTATGAGTTACATATTTCAAGTATACCATTCGGTGGGTGTGATATTCATGTTGTACTTGGCTGGCTGTTGACGTTTGAAGCAATTAGGAAGAGCTGTACTAAGCAGTATAGTTATCAAAATTCAAAAACGTATTTGTCATTCTACCGGTAAAAACCTCTTTTGTCGATACATGTGATTAGTTGAGCCAAGATTAGAGCACCAACGTATATTTTAGTCAAATTCAAATGCTTCAACGCACCATACATTATCGTAATAGTGATTTGATGACCGAAAATCCAGTCTTAAAAATGATGACGTTCTCATATTCAAGAAACGCTCCGATCTGGTTAACACAGTGAACTGGAAACGCTCCGGTAGTCTAGATCAGTTTAGGAAATATATAGCTTGCCTTTCTTTTTCAGGAAGAGAAAAAAAGATCTATTATACCCATTGGCATCAAAAAAGAAAGATTAATTCACATGTAAATTTTCGTTTTTTTCTTTAGTTTTATGATTTAGCACATATGTAGGCATGACATCATCTAATGTAGGCTTAAATCAGCTAGTTGCACGTTTAGCACCACCAGGTTCAGATGTTTCAATTTGCCTAACAAGTACAACACGTTTTTGAGAGATAGATTCGATTCGGAACTCTTCTCTAATAATCTGAAAATGATATCAAAAGAAAATGGTAAGAGCGTTTCTAAAATTGTGTTCTAAATCGACGGAGCGTTTCGAGGAAAACAAGCGATTTCTCGAGAACAAGTAATGGATTCGGACTGGGATTTTAGGAAATGAAAATATACGAGTTTGTGATCTACTACGTTAACAGAAAGATTAACGTTTTCATAGAAATACTAGTTTAATTCGTAATTTGTGGTCAAATCGTCATCTTCAGATTCGTTCGAGCTACACTACGGAGCTTTGATCAAGCAAATAACAGTTTACCACCAGAAGTTGAATAAATAAGATCTTTGCTCACGGTATTGTTCATCGAATGGTACATAATATTTCACCATAACATATGATATGTAAGAGAAACGAGAAAAACAATACTTACGGTCATAGTGGAATCTTCATTAGCCGCCATTTTATTTCGCTTCGGAGCGTTTCCGCGTAAATGAAACGCTCCGTCGTGCATGTAGGAGCGTTTGGGTTATACACCGTGTAAGTACTAGAATGTGAAATTAGTCTCTTTACCAAGTACATGCATGCATGACAAGGGTGGCAATTGGGTAGTTTCTTTGAATTATTTTCAAGTGTTACTCGTCCAGTGTGAATATATCAAAAAGATAATTACGGTCGGAAATACATTACGAAACTTGGCATTTTATTAAAAAATAGTTGTATTTTGTCGTTTTGGTAACGTGTTTAGTTACATCAGGGAAACGACATATACGAGTATAAGTGCGAAAAGACGCACTTATTATGTTGGCTAATGTCTACATATTGCCCCGTACTATACACAAATATATTATACTCACACCATGGCCACCCACTTTGGCAAGTCTCTTTAATTCTTCCAGCTCCTCTTTGGGTATAATCATATCACCTTGTTCCGCATCACCATACATCTCGGGATACTCCCGCCTCTGCTCCGCTATAACATGATTTTACCACACCTCAGTTTATATAGATGCCATGCATATTACTAGCCTTGCCCAATTTGGTATGTCCATTTCATTGAATCATGCCTTTGGTCTGTTGTCAATATAGCCCTCGCTACCTCGGGCTATATTAACGACAGACCTCGTGCGAATAGCTGGAGCGGAAGCTCCCACCTAGCTACAGTATCTGGTCAACTCGGACGCTAGTAAACTCGGACCCTAGTTAACTCGGACCCTAGTCTACTTGGACCTTTTTAAACTCGGACCCAGTTATATTTTATAAATCAGAGGTATTTTGCTATATGCTATGTTAGAGGTGAAAGCAATTAACTTGCAAAATATTACAAGAATATTGGAGTACTTTATGATATAATTTAATTCATTACTGAAATCTTTAAATATTCAATATATTTAACATGTTTATACCCCTTTTAAACTTGGTTTGAAGAATTGAGGTCAGCAACATTTAATTCACATTTCTAATTTATTGTCAAAACTCTTGGTTATTAATTTTTTATTCATACCGGGATATGAGGCTGAATGGTTTAAGAATGCTGTTTAAGAAGGTTTGACGAGTGTCCAAGTTGACTAGGGTCCGAGTTAACTAGGGTCCGAGTTGACTAGGAACCCTAGCTACGTGTCTGCATTGAAAGGAAATTAATAGCTAATTGAAATCCTAATTATGTGGGAGTGTATTTATATTTTATGGACAAAGCGGCCTGCACATTTTGTTTACGATACTGTAAACAATTAATTAAATGATAAACTAAAAACGCTAAATATACGTTGACATTAAGAGTAATATACCATAAGATTGAAATGATATACTGTATATTGCATTTTAATACATCCTTCATTCAAAGGGCTTCATTTATTACTCAATTCAGGAAAGAAGAGAAATACCCTTGGACCAAGGATGTTTCAATAGTCCATGAATCATATTTTCAAAGATAAGTCAAGGTGATTCTTATTAAAGAAAACTGTTCGAAATAGATTATTTCGAATAGTCCCTATAGTCATTCTTGTCATGAGCCAACGTGCATGCATATTACCATCGTGGACATCATTTCAACGATTAAAGTAAAAAAAAGTATATTATATAGGTACAAAGTATGTAACATTTTAGTGAGGTAATTCCATCGCCTGTGCCATGCCAGGCTTCGCGTGTCTTTCTTGAATAGTTCTGTTTTGCTCGTTAAATGTATATTACCATCTGCTTCAGCTTTTAACCTCTCCCTTTCACGAATTGAGTTATTTTCTTCTGTGTCTTCTTCCTCCTCGGACAGTGCTTCGGACGACGCCTAATATATAAATGGTCTTGTATTTAATAATATTTTGCAATTAGATGAAGGAACAATATATGTTATAGGTGACGAATAAAAAAGCGACATGATTCGTGATTTTAGCTTGAGATGAAGATCTGTACCTCAAGTGATCGTGTTAAAGTGGCAATCGTACCTATTTTATATCAAATATTTCATCATTCATCTAAACATTATATTTTAATAATGTTGTTATGTTTTAGATTAAATTCAATATAACTAAAAAGTTTATGTTTTATTAAATAGTCAATCATTTTCATAAAGAGTTCTGCAAATGTGCTATAAAATAAAAAGTCTTACGCTGTCCCAATTTCAAAGTTCTTTTTATGGGCGTGCATATTTTTGACATATTTACAGCTATTTTCAAAATGTAAGTCGGCTCAAAAATATATTATGTATCGAAATATATTTCGAGCAAATCTGATGAGAGAATGTCATAATATATTCAAACATGACAAGAAAATGCCCCTCATCCATGAAATAGATAATACTTCAATGTCAAGATTTTCCCAAAATTATACACTGTCTCTGTTCAAGTTTTTTTGTTTATTTTGTGTATGCAATGTTGGTTTATGCAATGTTCATATCAATGATCATTGATTCCATGTGCGATGTTTTGTTGTAGGTTGGTCATTCGATGAAAGTATACGATATATGATACAAGTTAAAGTAGAAATTAGAAGATTAGTCCTCATGTCTGTAACAAGATTTTCAATTGAAAAGTGGGCGTCGCCCGCAATATAATACAGTGGGACGGAAAGAATGGCCGATGGACCAGTTTTAACGTTATCAGAATCAGTGAACTACCAGCGCTATTCGTAACCCATTGTTAGAGGGCTGTAGTAAACATTCTTGAACAACGAAACATACTAACACTCATACTCCCCCAATATCTAATATTAATCCACATATATACATTTTATTTCAAAAACAGTTTGTTTTGTGAATAATACATGAGTTATTGCTGGAAACAAATTGATTTTAATTGATCTGACCCATTGAAATGTACACGTATGCCATCTATATTTAGACTTGCAATCAATTAATATTTAAACTTGCAATTTGAAGTGACATACATTTGTCAGTTGGATCTTAAATGTTGTTACCTGAATTAGGTAATAATTATACAAGATGCCACATCTCGCATTACTAGTTGCTTGAAAAATCTGTCAGTTGAATTGAAATATTTCAAAAATAAATTTATTTGTTTTAAGAAATGATTCTTTTTTCTGTGGTGATTGACGACTTTTTGGATTGTATCATTTTCTTTTTGGGTACGGAGAACATCTGCTAACTGTATTCAAACGTTCTATGAGTTTAAAGATGTTTTTTGTATGAACGCTATATATTTTTATGCTGTATAATAATAATAAACAATAAACCCCATTAATAAAACCGAGAATATATAGAGATTATCCTATATGAGGTTCAGGATATTGGGATTATCCCGAGGCCAATATAATATATTTGCCCGAGGGCCGCAGGTCCCGAGGGAAAATATATTATATTGGCCAAGGGATAATCCCAATATCCTGAACCGACTATAGGATAATATGTTTATCCCATACCAATCTTGGTCATCTGGTTCACATTGTTCAATCGTGGAAATGATTTAGAATATTCATGTCCAGTTTTGTTTTCTTGACCGCGGGCGGGTTTTCCTGTTCCCTCAAATATTCCCACATTTATTTTCTCGAATTTTTGATTGATTAAGTGGATGCTCCTTCCCTTTTTTAAACCATCAAACAGATCCCGATTGTCTGTGTTTTCTCCATTGTCGTGTACAGTCATTACGCGAACGTTACAAATTATGAACAAATATGCGAGCGGCGATTATGACGTAGCGGGCAGATATACTATATCTGCCCGCTCGGAGCGGGACGTATAGCTATATCTGCCCGCTGATGAAAATATAAGTTTTTACAAACCGGCTTTATGTACCTGAAACACGTCCAAGTATGGGATAAATATATGTATATATTAAAAAATCCTTGTCTACTCACCCTAGCTTGAGAAACAAGCAATGCAATGCAAAACAACGCGAAGGTCCTGAAGACGTTCATCTTTGAAATCAACTGTGAATTAGACAAAGATGTGTGTGTTTCTGTACGTAAACTTCAATCGGTTATATACTTGTGCAATTCCAATTAAATGTACATTCAGAATCAAGTATAAATTGTGTGTTTACGGGGATTTACGATTTGAATTGATTTACTCAAATAAGGGATTAGATTTAGTGAAAGAACGAAGTCATAAAACCGTGGGAATAAATTTTCCAAGAAGAAAGAATAATATTGTGTCATCAGTTACCATTATTACGACAAAACAAAGCTAAATGAGCCATTTTCTTAAGTTAATCATCTTTTAAAGTTCATCAACCAATAGAAATGTCAATTCTCATGATTGAATAACCGTTCTTATTGATCATTTCTATTTCGTCTCAATTCTTTTTAACAAGGTTTAACTTGAAAATTTGTTATTTCTTTGTAATATTTCAGTGATAACTCAATTTTTATTCCATTCTTTTATATTCTTCACCATGACATTTAATACACTGATACATTTCAAAACTGATTGACATCAATCAAATCTAATTTAGATGTGAACTTCATGTAAACAATACGACTAAAGTCTAAAGCAATGTGTTAAAATCCGAAAATATGTAAAACATGATTTACCGCAATTAGATCGAGTGCCATATTACCCCAATATCACACCAAACTAAATCTTACCCGTTCTTGCCAGTCCTACGAAAACGTCGTAAAACGGGCTCAACCTGGCTGTGGTGGGGAAATATGTCAAAAATAATTAGCTACTTCGTTCATAAACAGTCTTCAATACGTCCATGTCATTCGCAGTTCGTTCTGGTCGCACCACGTCGGTGTGCAACGTCGTATAACGCGTCCCTTAGTCTAGAAGGTCATCATGACCTGATTACAGAACGGTATGGTCGCCATCGAATTTTGAATCGATTCAATTGGTTAAAGTGTCTCACATATTCGATCAAAATTTGCCATGCAAACATGTTAGTCTACTTTACTGGCCCCCCTTGCTGTAACAAGGAACCCAAAACACATTAAAACGTAAACATAAACCAATTAGTCACTTCACTATGAAAGTGAGGGGTGTACGCTGTGTGCATGGACTAACACAATATCAGTGGTCATTTACTGTGTCAACTTAGTAACTCTTGCATATCGAGCTCACTCAAGTATTGAATAATTTTTTTATGATTTAAATGTTTGTGGTTTATAAAAAAAAGTGATATGTTTTAGTTAGAAATACATTAATTAATATATTCATTCAAACAGCACTAGAATGCGGGAAGAAAGAGCAATGGTGACAAAATGCAGACAGAATTTTCCGTAAGGGTTTCAAACATTTCTAAACACAATCATACATGTACCTCATGTGTACTGTTATTTTCAGTGCTATATTTATAGATATAATTTCACGTATTAAAATCATATTTTCCAGCAATGACTTCAAATTCGGATCCACACCCATATTACATTTTCTTCAATAACTCCAAACATGTGTAAACATTGACCATGAGCATATAAATTCAGATTTCACGAGCTCTTTCCTATTCGAGTACCTCATACACCCCTGCATGGATTTGACTTGGATTCGCCTTTTACAGGTGAGCGGTACACATCGCAAACGCTGATTAGATAAAGATTGCGAGAATCTTTAAATATCTCATTTCTAGCCACTTGAATACCAATAAAAGTTCTGAAAAATCTTAAAAACATTAAATAACACATAATATTGATAATAGACTAGCTACAACTTTATGAAAGTCTATAATTTCAAGTCATTTTATTTTTTCATTTTTCTCGTTTATTTTCCATAATTGATGGGGTAGGGGAGATCTGAAAGCTCTAATATGAACATTGTTTGTCTACTATACATTTTCTATACCTTAAATGGAAGAAGACATGCACAAGAACAGATTTAACTGAAAATGCAACGATCAGACAGCATAAAACTCAAGATATATGGAATTATATATTACTGCTGAAAGCTAAAATGATAAAAAAATACCAAGTTTTGTCCTTAAATGTCTCATTTCTAGCCACTTGTATATTGGAATAGGTTCTGAGATATCTTAAAAACATTAAATAACATATAATATTGACATAGAATAGCTACAACTTTGTTAAAGTTTATAATTTTAAGTTATTTTATTTTTTCATATTTTTCGGTAATTTTCCATAATAAATGGGGTAGGGGAGATCTGAAAGCTCTCATACGAACATTGGTTGTCCACTATACATTTTCTATACCTTAAATGGAAGAACACATGTACAAGCACAGATTTAATCAAAAATGCAACAACCAGTCAGCATTAAACTCGAGATATAAGGAACTATATGTTAATGCTGAAAGCGAAAATGATTAAAAATGCCAAATTTTGTCCTCAAATGTCACATTTCTAGACACAAGTATACTAATGAAGGTCTTGAAACATCTGAGAAACCTTACATAACACAAAATATTGATATAGAATAGCTACAACTTTGTTTGAGTTGAACATTCTGACTTCTTGTAGTTTCCATTTTTAGCCATTTTTTCTAAAAAATTCAAGGTATGTCTTCTTCGGACCAGTATTTAGATATGTTCGCAAGAGTTATATGCTTCGCAGGCGAAATCTTTTATGCAGGGCACCCTAATATAATAAAAAATACACAGAAATTCCATCCAGCTCATAAAGTCATTTTTTTAGAAAATTTTCCACCCCGAGTAATACTATAGCACCCAGTCTCTAGGGAATATATTGTACTTTGTATAGAAAACTTGCTAACGTGTGGATAGAAGAATTACACGTTCACGTTTACATTGTGCAAGCTTATAACCTTTCTGTTATCTGGTGACATATGCGGGATTTTACAGATTCCATCACACTTTAACCTCATTTAGCTAGCAACAAAAGAGAATGAACTGTAGATTATTTTAAAGAATATACATCCAAAATTGTTCAATAGTTAAGTGTATGATTTAGAGCTAATTTCCTCAATTCACTGACCTGAAATAGCATAATTATACAGAATACAGCAAGGTGTATCCCAGTAATGTTGTTATACCTAAATTCTATGGACTACCCAAGATACAGGGTGTCCCAGAACTGATGAGAATTTTTTGAGGGGGGTATAAGGCATAGGTAGTTTTGCTTCTTTGCTGCACTTATTAAACATACCTTGAGAAATACTTGACATTAATTTCAGGCACATACAGTATCTTATATATTTCTAAATTTAATGACATTTGAATTCTACATCGCCACAAACCCCGGAATTCCCAGAGGAATACAACAATTCTACTATAATAGCATTGTTTTTATTGAATTATCTCAGCGTTTCGGTACATTAGTAATGCCTGGGTCACATATGCTCCGATTCATCGGCCGGCGCCCGCCCGATTTCAATATTGTATTCAATTTGAACAAAATACTCAATCGGCCGGGCGCCGTAGTGAAAATCGGAGCATATGTGACCAAGGCATAATGCTCGGGTCAAATTTGCACCGATCCATCGGCCGGCGCCCGGCCGATTAATTGAGTGTTTTGTTCAATATTGTATTCAATTTTTAACAAAATTCTCATTCGCCCGGGCGCCGTAGTGAAAATCGGAGCAAATGTGACCAAGGCATTGATTGGATCATACACTTTCAACTAACGTATCTTTACAAAGTAATTTCCAAGTAGTATATTATCTGCAGTTGATGTCTTTTCAGCTACTCTTTACACATTCCTGTATCGTTTAACAGCTATTCCTGTAGGCTTCCCTGAAACAACATGATGCAATTCTTCCTCTGTTTCAGTGACATGGTCCACTAATCTTTGTTTTATCTAATAATTAATAATAATATATATGAAAGTGTTATATGAATATGATGAAAATGCTCAACTAATCTAATATAAAAACCATTGCTTTAAAGTTGAGGATTCGTGTAAAAATTGACAAAATGTCATAAATTATTGTATTCCTTTGACAACTCCAGGGTTTGTGGCAATGTAGAATTCAAATGTCAATCAATTCGGAAATATAAAAGATATGCGCCTGAAATTCTTCTTTAGTGTATGTTTAACAGGTGCGCCAATTTGGAAGAAAAATCACACATGCCTTAAATCTCCCTCAAAAAATCCTCTTGAGTTCTATGACACCCTGTAAATCAAGTGAAGGATCCCAGATTAGCATTGTAAGTTATGATGTTACAGCTTTGTTCACAAGTGTGCCAATGCAGAACGTCATTCTGATAATAATGAGTAAGCTCAAGAAAGACAATAAATAAGCAGATAGGACAAAATTAATACCAGACAATGTGACTTGTAAGCTAGAACTCTTAATACAACATATTTCACATTCAAAAATGAAACATATATAGTCAGTACCATGGAGCAGCCATGGGATCACCAGTGTCACCAGTAATTGCCAACTTGCAATGGAACATTAAGAACAGGAGATCTTAAGTTCAGCATCGCATCCACCTCGCATTTGGAAAAGATACGTGAATGCCACTTGGGTAGTTATCCAGGAAGCGTTCGTCCAAGAGTTCACAGACTTTATCAATTCATTTAACCCGGATATAAAATTCACAGCCGAAGCCTTAAAAGATGCGAAATTGCCATTTCTAGACACTGTCACGGAAATCAAGGAAGATAGGTCGTTGCCAAGTAGTGTATATAGGAAACCCACACATTTTTTATCATTTTATTTCAAATTCATATCATATCGTACAAAGAATATCATAAAGTAAAAATTCAACAAGGTCAATCAATTTAACATTTGTGTTGAATTGTAAATAGATCAAATTAGTATACAGATCAAATACAATTTTTTTACTATCATTAATAATAATTGTTCATATATAAACAAAAAGGAAAACAATAATCAAGACTAATATAAGATGTTTCACAAAAAACAGTACGCAATGGGGTAAATTCTGGTGTGGTGTGTTATACATCTTAGTCAATCTTGGTTGCTTTTAAGAATTTTAAAGTAGCTTTCAGTAGAAATCTATTATCGTCATTACTAAGTTCTGTACTACCATGTACTAGCATATTGACCATGCTAACAGCGTTAGCATTTAAGAATTTTTCTTAACAACCAATAATATGGAGATCTATAAGCAGTTGGATTCTGTCATCTTCGAATTGAGGGCTTTTGAGGAAAAATGAACTGAGGTTTCATTTTTCATGACCACAATTGCAGGCTGGTGAGTCTATGTTTGTAAAATGATTAGCAAATAATTGACTTTTTAGAAATAAGTATACTTTTAAGTTTTAACCTTTTAAATATAATTTCAGTTTTTCGAGTGATATCAAGTGATGTTATGATATTTATACATGTTTCAATGATCCAAAATGCTTTCTGAGTTTGCCCTTAAAAGTTGATATTCTATCGCATTTTTTCATAAATGCAAACCTGAACTAAACAGATACGTAGGATTTAAGGCTTGCCCGGGTCTGCTTGAGGTTGCAAGGTCAAAGATCAAGTCAAGGTAAAATCTACCAGTTTCCCGCCAAATTCAGACATCTTGAGAAGGGCAAAAGAAAGTGCAATAATTATGCTATTTCATGTTAGTGAATTATTTTTCTATTATTGGCAAGCTATCAAAAACCAGTGTGGCACAAAAGACGATTAACTGTCACATGCAGTGCACTAAAACTAATTACACGCTATTTACTCACTCAATAGTTGAATTGTAAACACAAAATAAATCAAATTTTGATTTGTACATGATCTGTTACTTGCAGTTCAGTGAAGCTGAAGTAATAACAGCCACTCATTTCTCAACACACATACCAAGTCAATACAAAAGAAATCAAATTTTCCTAAAACTCGCAGAGGCCATTTCCTTTCGTAAGAGTCAGTGTGGGGTTTAAGTTGGACGATTAACCCTTCGTATTGGGTCTTAGCAGAACTAATATTATTTCCTTCGTATTGGGTCTAACCCCCCTATCACACCAAACTAGTTCTTACCCGTTCTTGCCAGTCCTACGAAAACGTCGTAAAACGGGCTCAATCTGGCTGTGGTCGGGAAATATGTCTAAAATAATTAGCTACTTCGTTCATAAACAGTCGTCAATACGTCCATCTCATTCGCAGTTCGTTCAGGTCGCACCACGTCGGTGTGCAACTTCGTATAACGCGTCCCTTAGTCGAGAAGGTAATCATGACCTGATTATAGAACGGTATGGTCGCCATCGAATTTTAAATTGATTCAAAATTCTAAATCACATTCCCTGTCTGGGAGAGTCCATGAAGTTCTAAACAGACCGTAGAACGTTGTAGCTTCGTTCATTCCGTTCGCACACAGTTTAAAACCAGTTTTGAAGAACGCTGTGGCAACTTGCTTGGTGTGATAGCTATATTTTTGCTAACTCGATGATAAATACGTTCTTAATCAGTTTTAACCCGTTTGCAATAAGTTCTACCTCGTTCTCAATACATCCTCAGACAGTTCAACTCGTTGTAAAAACGTCCCTAGTAGGATTGAAGTACGACAGTTCCGTTCGTAGTACGTCCAGCTCGTCGCTAGTAGGTTGTCACTCGTTCTAATTGTAGAACGTGACGACCAAGAGAACATTTTGAGCATGTTCTAAGTTGTAGAGGACCTACCCATTCGAGTATGTTCGATGATGTTTGTAAATAGACCCCAAACGGTTCTAACTACGTCCAGTCCGTTCGTACAAAGTTGAAGCCCGTTTTCGAGAACGTAGTGAGAACTAGTTTGGTGTGATAGTAGGGTTAGTAGAACTAGTATATTTCTCATAAACCCAGTACTCATAGTTTATCCAAAACATAATGCAGAAACAGCCTGGTTCCGATTTTTATCCATGCCGACATCTGATCTTGTTGCTCAGCATTTGAAAAGTTTATTCATTTCAGCTACTTCAGGGATTTTTTCATATCATAATAAAAAAGATGACCAATCAAATCAACAAGGCTGTCTTCATGGTACTATTTTCAATAAAATACTCATAATATTTATTTCTCTTAATACATGGAAAATTCATCCTGAGTTTAACTATAGCAGGCAGTTTACTACAGCATCGTTCTTCTAGATCCGCCCTACACTATCTTGGGCGACATGACCTGGCTCCATAAGTTTGAACTAATTTGATTTTGTCTGAAGCACTAAGTCCATCTCTCTGTCCCATTTTTTGCTCACAAGCGGATGTCTTTCCTGTAATTGTTTTCACGGGCGTTAGTTTGTCCTTGCTAAATGAAATTGGTGAGTAGTGCATTACAGACCCACAGTCATAATCGTCACTCCTGTCCACATAAACATCACTTACTTTTTCAAAATTGTTGAGTTTGGCTGAAAAAACAAGTACATCTGTCAAGGCAAAACCAATCATGCTTACCAAATTAATCCATATCTTGTAGAACTGATACAAAGTAAAAATCTAGAAAATTTGGAAGAATATATATTTCAGCCAGTAATAAGACTATCTCGGATATTTTGTAAACCCATCGGATAAATATTGTAAAAACGATCTTTCAGAGTGCAGGACGACCGCGCAATTTTCAATAATCTTGTATTTGATCCAAACGGGTTTCGAACAAAAGTATGATGTAATTAGCCATTGCAAAGGGCCACTACTCTGGAACTAACTATTTGATTTGATTTAACACCACGACCAAAAAAAACGACTTTACTGAACAAAAAATGGTGTAAATCCCGAAAATGCTTATAATCACGATCAAATATCTGGAATTTCAATCTATTTCTGACCTGCGTCTACATTTTCGAGATGTAGGTCAATGGAGGTTTCTCTATCCTCTCGCGTATGTTCGTGGTAGAAGCCTAGAGTATGGAGCACCTCATGAATGGCCGTGCCGATTTTGAGCGTGCAATATTGACCCAAAGACAGCTTTTGACCGCTCTTGTACCTTAGTCCGAGCTCAGCACTGCATCTGATAACATAAAATTAAGATCCATGGATATTTATTTCCTCTGAAACAGGAGTGATGGGTAGTCTCCATCCAAAATATGTCTATAATTTAGACTGTCGGGTCTTCATATGGAAATTCATTCAATATTCAAGCAATTATTTTTACTTTACAGAAATAGATATTATACCAACGGAAAACGGAAGGAAATTTGAACTTAGGCACCTTCAAAAGAGGTACATTTATACAAGTATAATGCAAAATTCAGCAATAATACTTATATATTCTTAATTAATTATCAATTGTGTATGCATTGCCCTCAAATAAATTTTTAATGATTCAGTCTATCGTATTGAGTGCAGCTGTGACTGTAATATGGACGGAAATTTTCATTTTTTGATTTTTGGGCGATCACGGCACCCCTGGTGTCAAATTCACGAGAAAAACAATTGTTTTTGAATTGGATGGTACCATTTTGTTAGGAAAGGATTTATCTTCTTTAAAATGATATATAATACATGGCATGGTTTAACATATATAATATGAATCATTCATCTTTAAACGTGGGTATTGGTTTTTTGGCCCACCCTGTATATCTTCCAAGATCCACTAATTCTGCTTCTCTTGCTGATTTACTTTTAATTTGAAAAATCGATTGACCTGATAAAGGGTTCTGAGAAAAGGGGACTTTGATAACTTTGCAACAAGACGCTTACCCGGTTCCGTATTCGACCAAAACGTAATAAGGACGTGGTGTATCGCCTGATTTGTATTCAATAAAGTTAATGCATGCAGCCTCTTCTATTTCATCCATCGCAGCTCTGAGGACCTGTAGAGGAGTATTTGTACCATTTCCTGCAGTCATAAAATAAATAAATGTCTGAAATTTTTTCCTGATTTTCAACCCATTCCGCACCTGCTTTTTTAATTTTTCTTGCATCAATATGTTGTGTTTTGACACACAGTTATATTAACACCTTTAAGGGAATAAGTGATTCCTTTTAGATAAAGTGGACAACAATATTTCCCATGGTTTTTTCCCATAGGAAAAACTCCATTGCTATCCATTGCTATTAGCTAATTTTAGTCACGCATAATGGATATCTTTAAAAAAAACAAAGTAATCACTTATTCCTTTAAAGGGGTTAACTGTGTGTCCAAAAGCAACATATTGATACAACAAAAATTATAAAAGCAGGGGTGGAAGGGGTTGAAAATCAGGAAAACATTTCAGAAAAAACATATGGGTAGGTTGTTTGCATCTTCCCTGTCTCAAAGTAGAAATTATTTTATCATCTCTATGAGTGCCTTTCCTGGAGGCAGTGCATTGATCTAACATATGCAATGGTTTAAATCCTCAGAGAATAGCCAAAATCCAACATATGACTGTCCGAAACCTGTCGCGATACTTTTCCTCCTCGTTTCACTCTTGGAGAAACTACAGATATGTATGTGTACCATTTGATAGCACTGGGGACCTGCAGAGGAGAATGTGTACCATTTCCTGCCGTCATAAAATCAATAAAGGAGAACCCCCGATAAGGAGACTTTTTAGAAGGACGCAACGTTTTTTATTCTGGAAGTGATCATCATGAAATTTTAACATACTTTTGGAAATGAGGTGAATTTAAAATATTTTCTTCGAATTATTAAAACGTGCGTTTGTAGAACGGTTTTTGTGAAGCGATAAATTCAATTTTCCATATATTAACCGTTACATTTTGCTTAAAATCAATAACTTTCCCATTACTGTACGAGCAAAATAGAATTTGGCAAAGTAACTTAATGAAGCAAAGTCTCCGTTTTCGTAAAGAAATCGATGGGCGCTCCACCAGAAATATATTTTAAGAATTTTTTACGAATATATAAGCACAAATGCCAAAAGGGAAGGGTGACTAAAAACTTTAAGGAACCCCAACAAGAAAAGCAAACTGTAAGTGTAAATCTGTCATAAGAAAAGTAGACCCTATATATACCAAAACTATGATCTAACGTGAAAAGAAACAATGTCTAACATCCCCCTCCCCCCCCCTCCAATCGAGAACCAATATCACAATCCAGGACCAGAACACCAAGGGACATTTCATTCATACTGAAGTCATTACAATACATGTTGAAGAAAAAATTGAAAAATTGATAGCCAATACTCATAACATCAAAAAGAGTTGTAGTTACTAGTACTCATAAAAGATAGAGTATTCAGTCTCAAATGATGTGGGATAGATAAAATACAGTCCCGACGTCCATAGGCAATTCAAAGGGTCAACATCCGTTCGCAAAGCCATCATGATAATCCATAAAACACAACAATTCACAATGGTCATCAGGAGAAAACTATGGCTGGTTTCGATCCCTATTTCTCAACCATAATGCCATAGCCGGGATCCACCTCAAAAGGTGCCAAGTGAAACAATTGTCAGTTCATTGCCAATTTGTTATACCATCCTACATCCTTAAGCATCTCAAGTGGTAAAATTTGAAATTTCAAAAATAATGACAGAAAGGATTTCTTAAGTCTTTTACAAGTATAACCTTATCCTAACAGCTTGGTCACTAAAATGTGGTATCTTGATTTGAAATGAATTGGTTCCATTATTCCGTCATTCTCATGAGTGGAAAAGGTCTCAAAAACATATTTCTAGGAAAACGCCCATTGATTTTTTTGATTTTCTAAGAGTTCAAATAAATAGGTATCTTACAACTGTGACATTTTTTTCCTATCCCATCAGACCATACACGGATTTTAACCACAAATAAAGAGTCTAAACTTAAAAAACGAGTTGATTGCCTTGCAAAAAATGTTCTTAATTAAAAAAGCAATTTTTATGTCACACAAGTTGTTTTTGGGAATATCTAAGATCACCTAATATCGAAGATCATCTCTGATGTAATGTCCTTCTAAAAAAGTTCTCCTTATCGGGCGTTCTCCTTTCATCTTGGAGAAATTACAGATATGTATGTGTACCATTTGGTAGCTCTGGGGACCTGTAAAGGAGTATGTGTACCATTTCCTGCAGTTATAAAATCAGTAAATTTCATCTTGGAGATACTACAGATATGTTTGCGTACCATTTGATGGCTCTGAGGACCTGCAGAGGGGTATGCGTCCCATTTCCTGCCGTTATAAATTCAATAAATTTCACTCTTGGAGAACCAGATCTAATCTGAGGACCAGATTAGATAGAAAGTTTTGGAAAATAAAGTTTGATTTTTTTATTGAGTGGATTGTTTGTGCTCAGTGTAAAATATAAACATGGGTAATACTATATCTTTATCTTGTGATCTTGGGCTCCCTAGGGAATATTCTGTATTCTCCGCATTACTACTGAGATGGTCCAGTTCGTAAAAATATTTTCTGTATCGCTACGGAGATGTTCAATGGGGACAATCTCAGTAGCACCACAGATTGGTACATCACATGAACTGACCAATCAGATGACTTCATTTACATATTTTACAGATGATAAATGCATACCTTCCTCTGCAGTTCTGCCTCTGAAATCATCAGGGACGTAATAGTAAACTATGCCAGTGCCATAATATTTCCAGCAGTAGTGCGCACAATAGGCACTGTTAAGAGCAACGGCTCTGTATTTCTAAAATAGAATAAAACAACCTTCTTTAAGTTTTCAGTTACCCCGACTGCCCAATGGATGGCTTTTTAAACATGTGGTCCAAATGGGAGTTGATGTTGCCAAATGGGAGTGTACATGCTTTAATTAGAAACCTGAAACATTTGAACATCTTGCTTATTTGTCGTTTTTTTGGCTTACTCTTCAAGTTGAGAACCTCTATGATTCATAATAAATGGAACTGTGGGTATTGAGCTCACATGGTGTTGACCCAAAAGTGATTTTTGATGGCCAATTTGAAATTTGAAAGAAATTTGGTTGATTTCATTAAAGAACTGTTGACAGTGACATTGGTTTTTACGATGCAAGACATATGTTATACATAAAGCTACTAAATGGTCCAAACGTTAATTTTGCAAAACAAAATCGAAAATAAAATTGCACAGCGAACTCAATCAGTTTTATACACCTCTGTAAATTTAATATATCATTTAATATTATTTACATCTAAACCCTTTTTATTGTTTATTGATTCACAACAAGCAGATCTGGGGAGTATTTAGTATTATTAATGCATTTCTAACGTACTCAGAAGAAAATCTTACATGGTCTTTTTCACCGATTCTGCTAACGATTATGAAAATCTTACTGTTGAGATTATGAATACATATAAATAGTTGAAATGTAATCGGTACATTATACAGGGTGTTCCAAAAGTAACAGGACTGGTGCTGTCATTTTGTCAATTAACATAATCAATTACATACACCAAAGTTAGCATTCAGTTCTCTATCTTGTGCTGCAATATTCTTTAATTCGGCAAGCTCAGTTGGGGTCAAATCCATATCTCCCTGGACACCATCTGAATATTCTTCAGGGTAAAGCGTTTTATGTTCGGCTGAAATGCAAAATAGAGGGTCACATCCGATGTACAATACAGGGATCGCTAGAATTCAAGCCCTGGAATCAGTGCATTGTTTCTCAAAGGTGTTGCTAAACCTCACACTCGACGCGGCATTTGAGGAATGATCCAGTACACCATGTATTGAGTCTTTGGATTAAATTCTTTACACACATTGCAAATTTTTGTATACAATATCGCTAACATAAAAGATACGAAGACTTAAAAGAATATATTTTAAAACAAGGGTCAAGCAGTCACCTTGACAACCATTCAACACTTACTATTTGACCTGCATAGGCACTTGTTTTGTTATTCCCTATGATACTATTTATAGATTTTTACTCAACTACACTGGTGATCCACTCGATTACGCTGGTTACCAACACGGTTCGTTTTGGTAACAAAATGTCGGAACGTCGAAGGTACGATTTTTCTCTTTTCCTTATTTCACACGTTGTAGGCAGAATCCCCACGACGTTTTTTCTCACAAACGTGTATCGGTATCATATGTTTTAGAAAAAGTTCATGTTTGCGAAAAAATAGCTCAGAAGACAACAGAATCGTCTAGTATTTAATTAATTGAACTATTTGTTCGCACATATGTACATTTTCTTATACATATGATACTGATACACGTTTGTGTTAAAAATGTCGTGGGAATTCTGCCTACAACGTGTGAAATAAAGAAAAGAGAAAAATCGTACCTTCGACGTTCCGACATTTTGTTACCAAAACGAACCGTTTCGGTAACCAGCGTAATCGAGTGGATCGCCAATGAACTACAAAGTATAAGCTTATCAGTTTCATTAGTTTCTCTTGAATATAAAAACGACTACAGCATATAAGTTGTATTAGTCAGTATGGACAATATTTGTCTTTAAATGATGTAATAATTCCCTTTCCATGGGAATTTGGAACTATTTAATTTAATGGAACATCTTAGCGTTGATCTTCCATATCAATACCTTCTGCCTCTTCTTTAGATTTTGGTTTCTTGCGACCTTGTATTGAGTTAGCTTCGGGGTTTTCTTCCTCCTCCTTGAATAGAAATAATATTTTATGATTGAAATACACATTGAAATTTAGAAGATTATGTATTAAATTTTATCCGATATCTTTGTGAAACCTTTTTGATATTTCAGTACAAGCATACGTGTCTAGTGTTTTATTTACAGTTATTATGAGTACCCTGGAGTGGTGTACCAACGTTTTAAAGGCACGTTCATGTGGTAAAGTAACATATTTGTATTACATTTGATTCATTTGATTATAAATAAATAATTAATTAATAATAAATAATGTGTAAGTTAGTATTTAAAAGATATCTCTTCATAATATTAAGAATCCTTTTTAAACTAATAATATGAATTGTTAAGTATGATTCTAGTAAAAGTTTTTACATACCGATGATAGATTCTCCTCTTCTTTCTTTACTTCCTCATGAGACTACAAAAGAAAGTACATACACATTTATATAGAAAAACATAAAAGCCAAAATGTCCATCCCTTTTCAACCTGGGGGTGACATCCCGACTCAACATATTCTACTTTATATCTAATTTGAATCTTTTTGTTTTAATATATATTTATTTTATATACAGAACATCACATCATTTTGAGTGATATCATTTTTATCGCCGAGTTGATATCAAATATCAACACAAGTGAGCGAAGCGAATGAGTAAAATGATATCACAAGAAATTATGTGATATTGGGTTTATCCCATGATTACGATCACCTTGTGATATAGTTCGTCATAAATACAATTTTTTAATCGTTATTTAGCAGCCTTCTAATCAAATTATATACACAATCGTAATTTAATACACCAATGAAACTTAAAGAGAATAAATTAACGGACCTATTTTCTCAAAAGAGAATAAATTATCTGACCTAATTTCCAACAATATTGTGGCGCGAAATGCAAATGTGATATCACACGGATATGCGTGAGATAAACGATATCACACGCATATGAGTTTGATAAACGATTTTCTGGAAAATATCACACGGATTTCAATAATATCAGAAATATCAATAGCTGTTATTGTACAGATAACACATTAATCGTGGGATAAAAACATTTATCACATCTTTACAGTCTGAAGATATCAAAATAGATGTAATTACGTACAACGTTGTAAAGTCAATAATGATCAAATTATTAAGGAAAAACAGTTATTCAAAAGTAATGCAGTTAAGATGATCCTATTTATCTCCTCTTCCTACAAGTTATTCTAATTTGTAATAGATTGATACATTTACTGTAGCTCGAATCATGGTTTTAATCTTAGATTTATCCAACCAATATCAACTGAAATTATTTTTAGTGCATTCTTAATAAGTCATGTTGAATAAATCTAAGTTATAAACAAACTTTTAAAATTCAAAATCATCAAGCAAAGCCAAATATTTGAAGTGAAGTTGAAACTACATACCTGTGCTATTTCAGTGCATAGTAATATGCCAAATAAAAGCACGAGTATCCCTTTGAACATTTGCATTCTTAAAATGGTTCCTATCTCGAACTTTTCTACCCGTACGGCGGAGGATGAAAATATTGTTGTCCATCCTTGTATTTATACTTACAGTTTTAATACTGTTCACAATTTTATTTACGATTTAACATTTATTTAATCCCAAGCTGATTAATTTTAGCAATCAGATTAATGAGGTAGTTAAAAACCGAGAGGAGTTAATTAGTTCTGAAATAGCGTGGGAATGTGAATTGTTTTTGCAATTTACCCAAAGTAATTAATTAATGTCGATTAAAAATGAAGAATACAAACTTTAAAATTGCTGAAAGATATTGATGGGAATATAATTATGGTTTTAAGAAAATGTCGTGCCACGATACCCTTGAGATTGTTGACAGTTTAATTGAAGAAAAAATCATTTGTTTAACTGCAAATAACATCATTATTCTATAATCCAGTTATTTTCGGACACTGTCCAGTTGGCTGTTAATGTCTGGCACATTCACACATAACACAAAGAACACAGATTACAGTCATATACAACTGGAGGCTTTTGATTATTTACCTATAATTGGTTCCGGATATATTGTTAAAGTGGATACGTAACATTGAGGATTTACGCCTAAAGATTTAGTTTCAGTGTTTCTTTGGGTAACTGGCCTCTCCTTGCTCCCTGCACCAACTTAGAATATAGTTCGGAGCAGGGATACTAGCGGTAATTTGGTTTCCTGTATAAAAAAGCTTTTTCTCATTTTATGGCCCGTCGCAGCGCCATCTTGTGTTTTATAAATGAATCGAGGTTTGTCCCCGATAGGGTAAGTACTAATCTATCAAGAAACAATTGGTTGGAAACAGAAATTCTAGAGATGGCTGAGTGATTGCCAGTGTTGAGACTATGTAGGGCAGCTTAGTTTTCTGAAACAGGTAGCTCTGCTCTGCGGTGGTAACTCTCTCTCTAGGTTCATTTATCTCAAAATCCGCGTTTCCTTATCTCATGGCAAGCTAGACAAGACTCTAATGAACACTTAGCTGACATAAAACGATATATTCCTCAAAAAGTCATGTCAACTGATAAATTGTAAACCTTCACACTACTGTTGACTGTGACCGAAGTTTACAATATTGGAAGGTAGTTTTAGTCTCTTAGCAGTATAATTGAACAGTAAACTACTTTATCTATGTTCTATAATTCATCTGTTGAGTTGAGATATGGGAGTCTAACCTCGCATCTTGGTGTACCTAAAATGCAATGCTTGCAGTTTCTTGAACTGGAATAAGATGATGTCGTAAAAACAACAGATATTATTACCACCTTGCAGGGCCGGTTCTAGGGGTTTTAGTACTAGTTGAGAAGGCATTTGAATTGCTATATTGACGTGAGCAATATTGTGTCTGGCGTTAATGACGTTAGTCGGGCAATAATGACATTATCCGCCCGGCTATGTTTCCCGGGAAAAGTGATATCGTTCAGTGCGTAAGATTTTCTATTTCAAATTTGCTATTTCAGCCCTGGGCATTAACGGAGGTAATAATAGTAATAACGTCATTTCTGCGGGCAAAATAGTGAAATATTGGACCTTGGGCCTGCGGCCCTTGGTCCAATATTTCACTATATTGCCCTTTGAAATGACGTTATTGTACTATTAATTAGATGGGACATATAAAGTTGTGAAGACTGCTTGTCCAATAAAATAGAATATCGTTCAGATGGCCTATAGTGCTTTTGATGTCAATATGTCTAAGGTACTCTAGCATACAATTCTTTGACTTATCTGAAAATAGATCAAACAGACGAGATGTTTCTCTTTTGTGTTGGTATATAGAGTATCAATAAAACATATAATGATAACCTTTCATATACCCGTGTATTGTATTTAATCACACCAACAACACATAACCAATTATAACCACTTATCAGCTGCAATATTATTGTCTTAGAGTTCTTTTTATCGATCGTTATTTTTGGATGTTTTTATACAGGATGCTACAATTTTACAAAACAGTGTTTACTAGATATTTATGTTTTATATTTCAACATTTTTTCATATTAGTTGATATTATTTATTTGATATTTGTTTGAAAAGCTTATTTAGAAGTTGGGACACCCTACATGTACAAGGTTGACAAGGTTGTTGGGAGATACTCTGTCCATTGACTGTGGTCCCCAGTTGAACACCCATATTAGTGGGATAACATGTACATGTCTTTAAATCTACTTGTACCAGATTGATTGATTAAAAAACAATCGGAATGTACAAGGTGGATATAGTGGATATCCAATGGATGAGTAACATCCTTCAGTTCTAACCCCATCCATATACATTTGAACCACTCTGTATGCTTTCAAAACGATTTGTCGTAGTCGGCCATTCAGTTTACTTTATCTCCAATATCATGTCTAACGACTTAACATACCGTTACTGTGGCTTTCACTCAACGGGTGAGTAGTATACACATTTATATGTTAAATTGATTACATTTTGGCTCAAATGACATCTGGAAGTCACATCATTTTGAAGATCGCTGTATACAATTGAAATTTAAATCCTAAGTTGTCTGTTATAATAAAGAAGATGTAATGAGTATCAGAATAGAGTTTAATCTATTTTCGTCGTCAACTGAGATTATATTCTACAATGTCATAATGACGATTTTAAGTGATTTTTCAAGTGCTATTTTATTTAAAAGTGACATATTCAGTTTTCAAATGAGATGTTTGCATATGTAAAGTGTTTAGAAAGGAATAACATATTAAGTGGTTTGACTATTTAGGGAAATAACCCTCCGTATAATAGAATGTTTGAATAAAGAGGGAATCGTAAATCCAAACAATGAGTGCCATTGAAAAAATGTTTAAATGTTTCGAAATAAATAATTTCTGTGTTATTTGCATTTCTTTTAAACAGGCAACCGCTAAATAACAACAATATTGACAATGATGTGAAAAATATTGAAATATTGAATTCCACATTTAGGTACACTGTACAATGCTAAGAGGAGTAAAGCGTAGTGATAATCTAGATCTATGATGAATAACCGGTGGAAAAAGGCAAAGAACATCATCCGGATTTCCAACTCTTTGGGTGGAGTAGCAAAAGCTAGCGCGGACGAAGAGGAGTTTATCATCAAAGAGAAAGCGTTGAAACTACAGTCAGCTGTTAGAGATGGTGATGAACGATTGGTGAAAGTGATCGTGGAAAGAAGTCCTAAAGATATTATTGAGATCATCCAAATGCCAGTTGGTAATGCTGGTTCGGCTATTCATGTTTCCGCGGCTGCTGGACAAGACAGAATTTTGAAGATGTTGCTTAATGAAACAAACAACAACTTTGGACTTACTGTTAACTGTGCGTTTTTTGGAGGCGATCCAAGGTTAAATATAGGTGCTGGGGCTGACTTTGAATTAAAAATGGCGCCTATTCATTTTGCAGCCTACCATAACCGAGCGACCACAGTGACTATGTTACTCTCACATGGTGAAAATCCAGATCATCAAGATTCTTGGCTAAGAACTGCAGCTCATATAGCAGCGGCCCAAGGACACGATCACATCTTACGTCTCATAGTTGCTGCAAAGGGGAACATCAACATACAGGATCTAGATGGTCGGCCTCCTCTCCATTTAGCCTGTTTAGGTGCCAGATCGGCCACTGTCAGTTGTCTTCTTGAAATAGGTGCAGACGCGAATCTTATCAACCATAATGGAATAACAACGCTACATCTCGCAGCAATGTATGGCCTCCAGCGGACAGCAGATCTGCTGCTCCAAAGGGGAGCAGATATAAACGCTAAAACAAAGAATGGCGATACTCCACTAATGATGGGCTTGAAATCCGAATGGAACAAGAAATCGTCAGAGAAAGTCTTGCGATTTTCAAAGTTGATGGTGTTCAAACAGGCTGATATTAACATACCTAATATGGATAATGAATACCCTATTCATATTGTAGCTGAGAGGGATTACAGAACGTTAATGCAATCCTTTCTACAAAGGAATCCCAGGATAAACGTCCAAAATCATCTCGGTGAGACGTGTTTGCACATAGCGTTGCGTCACAAGTATGTGGTAATGGCGAGGATGATCATTGCCTACCGTGATGTACTTCTTAACATACAGGATAATAAAGGAGATACACCTTTACATATTGCTGCATCTGATGGTAACACTGAAATCGTTAAACTATTACTGAAGCACAACGCAAGGGCTGATCTTTTGAACGCCGATCAGAATAGCACATTGCACGTTGCTGTTAAAAGCGGTAACAATGGTATGGTTGAGGCTATTTTAAATGCGGAGGTTGATAAAGATTTGTTTGACAAAGATGGACGCGCGGCGTTACATATAGCAATCATTCAAAAGCATCAAGCAATCAGTAGAAAGTTGATTGAAAGGGGAGCTAGTGTAAATCTTCCAACCAAACCTAACGAGTCTACCCCTTTACATCTAGCTGCTTCCAAAGGTCTCCATAACGTTATTGTTAACTTGTGTGCTAAAGGTGCAGACGTTAATATGAAGGACAAACGAGGCAGTCTACCCATCCATCGTGCATGTATGTTCGGACATGTCGAGGCAGTCAGTGCTCTGCTTACAAGGAACAGCAACATAAATACGAAAATGGGGCGCGCTGGTTCAACTCCATTGTTTATCGCCATAGAAAAGAACGACACCCCCATAGTGAGGCTTCTTCTTGCGAATGGTGCAAATGCAAACATTCAAGGCGTATATGAAGGTCCACTTCACAAGGCTGTAAAAGTGAAAAACATTGACATAGTGAGTGCTTTAGTAGATCACAGAGCCGACATTAATGCTACAGGATGCTTCGACCAAACTCCACTGCATTGTGCTGCAGGCAGCAATGAGCTAGATATAGTCGATATTATTATGGAACATGGCGGAGATCTGGAGGCAAAAGATTGCAACGATAAGACCCCGTTGGATATTGCCAAAGAAGCAGAAACAGAAGACATGATATTTTTACTGAGGGGTAGATTGAATATCAAAACAAAGTTTGATGAAGCTGCTGAGTGAAGCACCCTTATTATAAAATAAAGGTCAAGGTCATCAACGGGTTACAGCTATTCTCATATTATCTAGAGCCATCCTATGTTAATACATGATGACAAGGAATCTCCTTTGTTATGTCAAGTTTTTTTTACATTTTCTTAATTAAGAGTGTGAGAGAGAGTTATTTTATTTCACTTTTCTTTTCACCTTATTTTAAACTTAATTCAGATCAAAGTCGACTCTAAATTTGTCATTAGACTCAATATGCCTATCTTATTACCATGAAAATACCCAATTACTCGTCGAGTGGTCACTTTCACAAGTTATCAAAAGCTAGCGGAGAGCCAAGTGTCAGATTCTCCTTTTTGGATGTTTTCAAGTGATTGCCAAATTATGGTTTATAAAGGCTCAGCTCGATCGTACATAAATGTTCCAAAGTGATTTATCAGATGGCTAACATCGTTATTTTATATTCCTTTTTACGACACCTGAATTTAATCTCTGTACTGAAAAAACATTTAAACATAAATAATTTGTCAAGCAAGTAATTAAAACGTTTGAAACTAGGTACATGTACCATGGTTTAAATCGGGAAATAAATTTCATTAAGCCGCAATTACACAGGTGTTTGAAGCTTTCAATGATCTACAGTTTTTATGTTTTTACATCCCGCACACACTGTTGGATTTCACTTTCTTTTTTATTAGTATTTTATTAAAAGGTATTAAAGGTCATTCTCGGTCATCCCTCTGTCCCTCTGGTTCCTAGGGAATATTTCATATCATCCCTCTGGAAAACCCCAATATAGAATATCCAGAGCTCCTTAGGAATAACTTATATACAAACGATATCCGTTCGGAATCATTTCCGGATATTTATTTTTTAATTAATTTTGTTGACCTACGAAATTATTTAATGTCATCCCCGGTGTGGATTGTACATCAACAACCTTCGGGGATTCGATATCGTCCTTTTGACTCTATCATCCCTTGAGATAGATCCATTATATAAATCCTTTCAGGGTATAACATCTATAAAAAAAACTCTAGATATAAAACTAAAATATACAAATACACGTGGTGTATAGGATGGAGTATTAGGATGAGAAATTAGATTATTGAATATAATTTAGGTATTAAAATGATAAATGTTTTTTATCGCTCCATTCCCATCTCGGGCTGTACAGTAAATAACACAATCATAAATGATTATGTCTATGTTTGGTCCTTAGGCTCCAAGTAAGGGTCGGGAGGAACACTTGATAAATAAATATATCTTATGTGTAAGGCATTTGAAGAATAGGCCTATCAAAATCTTACAATTCATTGCAATTGTACAGCGTCCTCACAACGATATATTTTAGCTAAACATCGACTTTTGACAATTTTAATGGCTCTGAGTTTGTCCTGCTATTTTTTGCAATGTGAGAGGGCTTCTATTATTTCATTTGTGGATATAATGAATTTGCATTCAAGTTGAATTGATTTGCATTATAAAAGTGAGACGTTGACAATTTGGAGGTTGATTTCTGAAGAAGTTGGAATTGATTTCGAGATGGATCGAATGATGTACGATGTAGAGAATGAGCTCGCAGATCGCACGGTATGTCATTTTTTATTTTTGATAAAGACCCGATCATTTGAGATATTTTATACAGTTTATTTTTTCAAACTAATATACACTCTGTCACTTTCTGGTCGAGTTTCAAACATTTCATCCTTTTTAATTTACTGTGCTATCTGGTGATAAGTGTGATCACTATTATAAATAAGTGGAGATATCCCAGAATTCAGTATTTTCAATTTAAAGATAAACTTCAAGAAGCTCATAAACAAATAAAGCTTTCTTCCAAAAGAGCCGTTTGATGTTTTGTTTAATAATTTAAAGATTGTTCTTGATTAACCCAGCTCTATTATTGACAACGCCTGATAATTTGCTGTGCGGCAAGGATTTTGACTGTTCTGTGTATCATTCACGTTTTATAATGGTGGTGTATATATTTTTTCAAAATGTTGAAAATGTATAAATGATCTTTACATTCCAAAAGAAATACAGTTCAAATGGTCTCAGGAATTATGTTAAAAGTTTACATGACTTTAATTAAATACTGGTCACGAGTGGGAATTGCGTCAATCATCATCTACTCAATCGTATTTAAATTCATTATTTTTTACTCTTTTAGAAATCGTTTCGGTCGTATACTGAATTCTATGATCCGTGTCATGGTGGTTTAACAAACAATGGTTATCGCCCGCACACGCAGATCCGACCTTACAGAGCACAATCCCAAGGGACAAACGTGGAGAGAGGCATTATACGGAGCAGTCATCAGACAACATCATCGACATACCTTACAGCATCTCTCTATCAACGGTTGAAAATAATCGTGTTCGTGATGTCGTTTATTGCTGTCACTTCATGCATTCTGTTTGCAGTCTTATTTTCAGGTTGGTTCATTCACATACGTATGAAAGGAACAATGGAAATTTTTACAAATTCAATTACAATGACCTATGTGGATCACTTTCCAGCTCTCAATTCACAAATGACATTCCAGATACCCTATTACAATTATTAACCAATACTCAATCGGCCAAGTTAACAGTACAAATTTGAGAACTGATCCACTGAGGACCATAATTCTACACGTTCACGTACAAATTTTAAGACAACGTGTATTTCAATCTCCCTAGTAACTCTAGCCTAAAACTAGATCGATATGCGATGATGAATGATGGACAATTTTTTTTTAATGTACAGAGTGGGCCAAAAATTGAAATTGTTATATTAAAATAAAAATTTGACGTTTTTAGACCACCCTGTATATATATGAATTTCCTTTCAGTTTACCACATCAGAGATAGGCAGGCTTTAAATCACAGGAGGACCAACACCACGAACGTTTTAGATGCAACAACCCTGGAATCTATAACTGATAAGAGTGAGACACAAACAATAATAGATATAGCGACTGCAAATCAAACCATACAAACTTTTATTCCATCCACAGAAACTACAATTTCAACCAAAATGACATCAATTCCGACGATAAAAACTTCAATTCCTATCACCGAAACGTCAATTTTAACTGCAGAAGCTACGATTCAAACCACTTCAATTCCAACCACAGAAACGTCAATTCCAACCACAGAAACGCCAATTCCAACCACAGCAACATCAATTCAAGAAATAGAAACTTCAATACAAGCCACAGAAATGTCAATTCCAACCAAAGAAACGTCAATTCCAACCATAGAAACGCCAATTCAAACCACAGAGACGTCAATTTCAACCACAGAAACGTCAATTTCAACCACAGAAACGTCAAATCTAATCACAGAAACATCAATATCAGCCATAGGAACGTCAATTCCAACCACAGAAACGTCAATTCCAACTGCAGGCACATCAATTCTAACCACAGCAACATCAATGCAAGCTATGGAAACTTCAATCCATGCCACAAAAACATCAGTTCCAACCACAGAAACGTTAAATCCAATCACAGAAACATCAATTTCAGCCACAGGAACGTCAGAAACTACGATTCCGACAAAAGAAGCAACAATTCCGACTACAAAAACTACAATTCCAACCACAGAAACTTCAATTACAACTACAGGGACTACAATTCTTACGACAGAAACTACAATTCCAACCACGGAAATTCCAGCCACAAGAAGTGCAATTGTAACTAAAGACACGTCGATTCCAACCACAAAAACAACAATGACAACCACAGAAACTACAATGTCAACTACCGATATTGCAATTCCAGCCAATGAAACTTCAATTTCAACCACAGAAACTACAGTTTCTACTACAGGAGTTACAATTCTGACAGAAACTACAATACCAACCAAAGACACTACAAGACTAACTACAAAACTTTCCATTCCAACTACAAAAACAACAATTCCAACCACAGAATCTACAATTTCGACAAGAGAAACTACAATGTCAACTATGGAAATTACAATTCCAGCCAATGAAACTTTAATTCCAACTACAAAAACTACAGTTTCGACAACAGAAACTACAATTCCTACAACAGAAACCACAGTTTCGACAACAGGAATTTCAATTCCAATAGAAACTATAATGACAACCAAAGAAACTACAATACCTACTACAAAGGATACCATTTCAACAAAAACTACAATTTCAAGCACAGAAACTACAATAACCACAGAAGCTACAATAACCATAGACACAAACGCATCAAGTGAACCGTGTTCGAGTGGGCTGCATGAATGCAAAAATGGGTCCACTTGCGTACCGGCTGGAGGAACTACCTATACGTGTTATTGCATACCCGGTTCTCTCACATACGGAACCTATTGTGAATTATGTGAGTAGCAACCTACGAGAGGTGATCAATATTTAATTGACACCATTTCATATCTTGTGAGAAGCCCCTGGCATCTACTCGATCTAGGAGCTCCCAGTATCTATTTCACTATATAAAACGAGGGGGCAATGCAATGACCTTATGCAAGACTAACCCTTCTTAATACTCCCCTTTCTTTTTTAATTCAGTGGAGAATCTCGGTATCCAATCATAGGAGATATAAAGGCAAAACAATCCTGTTTCATTTAATTATATTTTTATATTTGTTATACATGGGTATACTATATGTAGATCTAACACATTCATTTCCCATATGCGTGTGTGGAATACATAAGTATACTTATACTCAATAGTTTGTAATCTTAACAGAAAAATGCCACATTGTTAAAAGTGAGCGGTTTCCTAATTTGTTAAAATATTTTTTATTTTTTCAGCTACTGGATCTTAACGGAATGACTCGAAGATCTTCTATGGTTAATCAGCTTTTACAGTCCTGACCTTCTTTAGGCTAATAATGACATGTAGTGGGCGCTACAATAGAGAGCTTTCGAAATAAGTTATTTGGAATACGTATACGCACTGGGGAGAATTTCTGGAAACGAAGATAGGGTGCTTTCACCCTTCAAATCAAAACAGAATATTCGGCAAGTATGTAGTTCGTGAGTTCCGGGTTTAAAATATGATTAAAACTTTATTATTAAAAAATTAATTCTGCCATACATGGGATATTCACAAATCAATACCCTCGATAAGGAAACGAGGACATTTTTCTAATGGAATGTACTTTCCTTGTGTCTTTTGAGAAACCTTCCTCCCCAGTGATGCTTCCGTCATTTAAACGTTAAAGTTGAAGTATAAGTGGGCTGAAAACTTATTTCGAAAGCTCTACGCGAAAACAACGCATATCGTTTTTGTCTCATCACCATTAGATAAAAGCCTGCATTTGAGACTAGCCCCTCACTGGAACATTACAATATAATATGAAACAATTAACTTATGATTTGGCCAAAAATTAATAGTTTACTTCAATGTTTGAGGGTCTGCGCGTGATGTGCATTCATGGTAGGACATTCTATCTGTGCTGATAATGGATGCGCAACATGTTATTCTGTGCTAAAATTGTGCTGGGGGACTTGACAACACGATTTCTCGACGTTTATAAAACACGGTGTTAAAGTTCGCATGAGGGTCTCTTTGATATCCACTAGTGCTAGATGGCTTATCATCCGAGGCTGTTTATGAACGAAGTAGCCCGTAATTTAGGACATTTCACTCCGACCACAGTCTTTTTACGATCAATGGCGGGATGGGGTGGTTTGAGAATTTGTTTGGTGGGAGTTTGGTGTGATTGATGGGTTGATATGCAAGCTGTCACGTACTTGCCTCTGCCTCATGCTAAATGTCCACATTGTCTTGGTATGGATGAAAATTCAATTTCAAAATACAGAATCATGCAAATCTGTTGTTCCATTAATTAACGTGGTCTGTCAGTGACAGACAAGCATAAGATATGATCTGAAAAAGATTTGATGACGTGAATCATATGGCGACAGCCTTGGGTCAACGGAGAGAACTCCTGAGATTTACTAGTATAACATCTCTCACTTTAGGATTCACTATGTAATTAGTAGGTAAATTTTACATTTCGGTGTGCAGGGAATATTACTTATGATGCTCTTTTCGTTCATTGTTTCACTGTGCTATCCGGTGATTGTTGCTTACCGAACCATGGCACCCGTAGATACAGATGACCTGCTGCCTAACATCTTGACTAAAACAGGTACGTACGGCTGCCAGCTATGTAGATTTAATCGTAGTTATGTAAACAGATACTAGTTGGCGCTTCTTAACATTAAACATCTAATAAGGTAATTAGTAAGATAAGCCAGGCAGTGAATCTTACTGGAGCAGCTAGAGCTTAATGCCTATGCTGTATTTATCTGACCACAAGCATCACTACAATGTTTTATTGCCGTAACATTAACACGTAGAATTAAAATCATCAAAGTCAATTTAAATTATACTAATAGCTACAAATGAAAGTACTCTAAATATCATTCTGGATCAAAATTACCTGTATCAATCTAATTTGGTGTATCTAGTATTTGAGTCTAATATCAGTGAATATGTTTGTGAGCGTATGTATTTCTGGGTGGGTATATCCAGGGGGGGGGATTCATGTGTTATGGTTTGTTATTTGAGTTGAGGATGATAATACAAAAAATACATTACTCACCTGTCAGCAGATTGGTGCTCTGTTTATTTTTTATTTCCAATTTGTTCATTTTCATGTCAAATATTTTACATAATTATCCAGCAACTGTCTGATGTACATACAACTGTATAATATCCATTTATTTTTTGCACTTTTTATGTTTTCTCTTTGTGTTGAGTCAATATGTCTGATACAGATACTTTAAAATGTGCATAGCACCGTTGGACATATTTTATCCTGTTATTTGGATGGACAGATAGACCGTCTTTATCTAGATTTTCTTTATGCAGATTTTTTTCTAAAACAACAATGCGATAGGTTTTGCCTTTTTTATAAATAACTTTTGATAAATTGAGTGTTTGCGATGTTTATATTTGCATTTCTAAGTCCTCCATCACTCTAAGTACTTGCTTATTTGTGTATACTGATTCAACTTTAAGCTAATTACCTGTTGGAGGGGGTGTCTTAGATTTAAATTTTCTCAAATTCTGCTGGCGGAAAGTGAATCAAATCTTTTAGACCTTGCAGAGAATACTCTAAACTTAATCACATAGGAGAAAGTACTAACTTTCCATCAGGAGAATTTTTCCTAATCAGTTTAAAGTTAATGGACATTAAGATGATCCAAACTCAGAGAAATGGGTAGAAAAGTTTAGATGTTAAATCATCCCAAGTGAATCATTATCTCCTTAATGTCTTAACATCAAAGAGTAAGTCAAGCCCTTTAGAAATAGTTTGTACAAGAGAAAGATACTCTTACTAAGTCTTAGGGTTAGTTTTAAGCATTCAAAATACACATTAAAAAGGGTAGAACTTCAGGCATTTTGATGCTCATTATGTTGCTAGGCAACAGCAGTAAGTGGTGATGCTATAAATATTAAGCAGGGATATTATGTTACAGCAGCTACTGGATTAAATCTAACAAAGTTAGCCTAGCTGGTAGCCAGTGGTACGTATTCAATTCAATTCAATTCATTTTATTTCAAATGTTTCAAATACAGTGTTTTACATTGACATGAAAAGACACCCCGAGGGCACCCTATGCAGACAGAGCCTGTGGGAAATATTGGGTGCGGCGCAAATGAGCGGAGGGTGCGGAGCTAACGGTCATTTTTGAATTTAAAATTGGGATATTTCTGAAACTAGGCCGTTTTGGGACTTCAAATATACCAAGATATGTGTATTTGACACCAAATATCAATAAAATTGTGAAAATAGTAGTGCAATTCATTTTATAGCGACGCAGTATGCCTTAAACATTTCCCAGACCTATATATTTTGAGATTATCCTTTTAATACTGCGTCCCCAGCATTCGTAAAAAATGGTGTTCAAGATACACTACCCATGCAAATTATTTTTGCATCTTGGAAGCCAGGCAGTATCTGTATGATTTTATAAAAATTCGGAAATGTTCTTCAGATATGAGCCCCTCTAAATATTGGGTGCGGAGCTACGTTTATGGAGCTGCTCCGCACCCAATATTTAGAGGGGGCTCATATCTGAAAAAATTTCCGAATTTTTATAAAATCATACAGATACTGCCTGGCTTCCAAGATGCAAAAATAATTTGTATAGATAGTGCACCTTGAACACCATTTTTTTATGAATGCTGGGGACTCAGTATTAAAAGGATAATTTCAAAATATATAGGTCTGGGAAAGGTTTAAGGCACACTGCGTCGCTATAGAATGAATTGCGCTACTATTTTCACAATATTGTATTGATATTTGGTGTCAAATACACATATCTTGGTAGATTTGAAGTCCCAATACGGCTTAGTTTCAGAAATATCCCAAATTTGAATTCAAAAATAACCGTTAGCTCCGCACCCTCCGCTCATTTGCTCCGCACCCAATATTTCCCACAGGCTCTGTCTGCATAGGGTGGAGGGGTGTATATTTTCCATGTTTAACATACAATATAGCATTTATTAAATTAACAGTCAGGTTATATGGAAACAAAAAAAATGACAAAGCATAAGATGCATCACAATAAAATACAAGTAATGAGAAGAAAGCATTTTTCAAAGAAGATCTAATAATGACTTAGCAAATCAAGCTTTAACTTTCGTTCAAATGATTTGATATGTTTAGACTTTTTGAGATCAAGTGAAAGAGTATTGTAAAGTAATGGGCCACTTGTTTCAATTGATTTTCTTCCAATTTCTGTTCTGAATTTTTTTACCGTGAGTTAAATTCTTATTAATTCTCGTGTCATGATTATGAATTGCTGTTCCTGGAACAAATAAATGTTTGAACTTTTGAAAAGGAAATTCTGGTGATTCTGAAACAGTTTTCTGAACAAAGCTAGCGGTTTGTAGTTTATTGATGTCAAATATATTCAATATTTTCAGTTTTGAAAAGAGAGGTCCTGAAGGAGCCAGACGATCAGAATAAGTGATCTCTCAAGAATTTCTTTTGCAGAACATACAATTTTTGAATAAGAGTTTTTATGGCATTTCCCCATAAAAGGTTACAATAGCTTAAGTAGGAATATATCAAGGAATAATAGATAGTGGTCATTGTATTTAAAGTCAGTCTATGTCTAGTCTTGTAGAGAAGGCCTATCAAGTTTGAAATTTTTGTACAGATAGCATTTATGTGAGATGGCCAATTCAGCTTTGAGTCAATAATGACACCTAGAAAATTGATTTCTTTAACTTCTTCTATAGGTTGTTCATTAATTTTGAGAACAATATTGTTTTTATTAGGATCCTTCTTTTTATTAAATATCATATATTTTGTTTTTTCAACATTAAGAGTTAATTTTTTAGATTTCATCCAGTTAGAAACAGTTTTTAATTCAGCATTCATATCTGAGACTAGAGTTTCAAAATTGTTATTGGTAAGTAGGATATTAGTATCATCAGCATATAAGACAAAGTTTAGTTTATTTGATATTAAATGTATGTCATTTATAAATATTATAAACAAGAGGGGACCTATGACTGAACCTTGAGGGACACCATATTCAACTTTATTTTTACCGGATCTATATCTAATATCTGTAGTTGTAAATTGATCAATCAAGACATCTTTCTTAACAATTTCTGTGACCATGATTCGATTTTCAAGATAACTTTTGAACCAGGAAAGAGCTGTTCCACGAATACAGTATATGATTGGAAAGAACAAATGATCACAAAAATTGAAACAGCTCAAAGGTCTTATGAATCTTTCGGACCATTTCAAATCATTGGGAAACGTCATATTACACAAGATGGCACTTGTGTGCTTGTTCATTGAAATATTTTTAGAATAATTACAATAAGAATTAAAAAACAAAGAATGCATTATTTAAAAAAAATAAAACATACGGATACATACATTTATGTAACTCTATGTACTTTTGTTCCTACATACATCGATCAACGATCATTTAAACAAGATTCGCTGTTCCCTGAACTTACTTAATAAATCATCGCCATCCGCCATTCTGTTGTGCGTGTTGTACGGTGACTTTTCAACTTTGAAAGCAATCGCCATGTGTAAAACAGCTTAAATAGTGTACTCATAAACATCTTCGCTGTAGATGATGTTGATACTGTTTGCGGACCTCTCTTAGACAAGGGCGATCAGAGATGTAATGGGACGAATCCATCGACAAGATGGTACTTTATAAAGGCCCCGGTTATCAGGCATTACCCAGAATTCACCTTGGTGCCCCAATGTAGACCATTCACATACACCGGATGTGGAGGAAATTCTAACAATTTCCCATCAAGATTAGCCTGTCAGAGGAGATGTGCAAAACGTGAGTCCATAATTAATTCAATTTCGTTCTGTGTATTTCGTTACATGCATTACCCTACTCATCGCATTGTTGTATCCCAAGTCTCTACTAGTATCTAGTATCCCTTTGATCAGAGATAGCTTTAGATAAAGAGAAACTCTGATGAATCAGAATGTACATCCAATACTCTCCGATCTCCAAACACAGGGCATCAGATCATCCCAAGGAATGATTTTATCTAAAGGTTTGGAATTCTGCGTTTGTAGAATGACTCAGCTCTTGATTTCTTTTTCTGTTAGATGTTTGCACATCTCTGCCTGATAAGCACAAATGTAAGGCTACCGGAAAGCTACCCGATCACATTTATGGGGATGTCTTTTACAACTCTAAGGTTGGGAAGTGTCGTAAAATTGGGGTCAGTAAGTGCACGACAACAGCTCATGCAAACTTATTTGAATCTTTGGATGAGTGTAATGGTGTATGTCGTAAGTAAATCTTTCGCTATCCATTATACACCATCTTAGTTTTTAGTGCGAAAACCACATTTTAGACCGTTGCAACTTGCAATATATGCTGCTCTCAAAACCGAAAACGATCTTTTTAGAATTCAAATTGTATAAAAGATTGAATTCAATTAGTTTATTGTTAAAAAAGCTTGACCATTATACATGCGGTCATGTAAAGCATATACTAAGGGCATATACTCACCATGCGCAAACATCACTTCGTCCACTCACTCGCCCAAAATTATAGCAACTAGGACATAATTATCTGTCAGAATCCCTCTTTTAGATGTATGCACATTGAAGCCAGTTTTGGGATCGTGCAACCATACATTTATGGGTGATAAATTTGACACACGGAAAGCACTAAGAGAATATTGGTACTTTGATACGGTTGAGCTGAGCTGCAAACGATCACTTGACAACAGGTGTCTACTAAATGCCAACTCATTCAACACGGAAGACAATTGTTTGAAAAAATGTGTCAACAAGAAAGGTTGGAATTGTTGTTGTTGCTTTTTGTTATTGGTCACTACCAAGAATTTAGAGCCACCGTTTTCAGTAATCGGTGTTGCGTCTGTAACAATGTGTTACATTTTTGTTGCCATTTGCAATCATTTGCCAGATGACACTTTGCCATTTTTATTCCTTGTTTTTGATTAATTCTGCAAGATATATAAAAAATCTCACCAAAAAGTATCAATAGTAAGAGATTTCGATTCAGTTGTTCATATTTTTCAGTGTGCTACAAAGACGGATCGGTGTATGCGCATGGAGAGGGTTACGAGGACGGTGATGAGATATGTACTTGTGCACGGGTTGGTCGAACATTGAAAGCCTACAACAGTTTAGGGAAGATTTTTTGTCAAAATAAGGCAAATGGTTCTCCTTAGAAAAATGCAATTTCGTATTTGACTTGACCCTATTTTAAAAATTACATGACGGGGTTTTATATATTCTGGTTTGCTCTTAAACCTTTGTCCACAAACATTGTATATTTGACATGAATGAAGTCTCGTAAATTCTATATATTTGAACTACTTGCAAAATATTGAACAAAAAGAGATTTCGTATTTAGCACTTATAGCGTGTTTATAAACCTCTTATAAATGTTTAACACGAGGATTGGCTCCTAGGATCGCAACTCGATATTTTCGAACAATGAAAACGTCAATATGCTGTTATTTTCTGAAATCATAACCGACTATAAATTGAAAATAAACAGTCCAAAAGATTTGAACCAATATCTCGATCATCTCTTGTGAGTTTGGAATTTTTCGTTTAAATTCACGATTCACGATTACACATATCTCGTTTAGACATTTTTATTGGTAAGGAATCATAGTGAAACTTGGCATGAAGTCATATTACTGTCCAATTCACATTATGAACAAAGAATTTAGAGATAAAAGCTATTCATATTTGGTGAAATAAGAATATTAGAATTAATGAATAAAATGTGCATCATAACGTACGTGTTTTAGCGAGATGCAAAATTTCAATTTACGTATACTTACATAATAGTACTAACGTTTAGCTATAGACATAACTTTACACTTTCACTTATGAGGGAAATCTCTCTTGTCTTCAAGTTCTCGTTTATTTCGTAAGAAATAAAAAGTAAGGTGTTTGGTCAGAGATCGAGAAAGACTATCCTCCAACGTTGCCTCACTACATCAAACCTTGCAACTTATATGGGATTATGTGCGTATTTATTGTTAGGTCATTTACTTCACCACGTATGTCACATTTGAACGTATGAACATTCATTTTAGTAGAAGTAACACGAATCTATTATTTGTGGCTATTATTGGTCATTTGACTCATTTCCTATTCCCATCGATCAAAATTTGGCCAATGCACATTTACCAATAGTGATTTGATAATTCCATTATACGCACTTAAAGAGAGGCCCAATAACACAAAAATATTCAATTGTCACATCGATATCAAATACGCGTCTACCCATCCTTCTTCAAAGGACTTCATTTATGCTCAAATTATATACTTGTAAAATACCCTTGCAGCAAGGATGGCGTCTACCAGTGATGACATGGATAGTGTCCCCAATTCACAAGCGTTTCGTCGTTTTCTTTGTGTAATCTATACATAATCTGGCAGCGTGTACACCAGCATCTTTTCGGCTTAAACTGACAATGAGGCTCACGTTTCTCTCCAGAATGCGCTTCAATAATCCTATCAAGGTCTGGAGTCTCAGAATTGTGCAGACGTTTTTCCAAAACTGATACAGAATCTGCCTCGAATTCTTCTTCGAGTTCCTCAATGTTGAGCTTTTCATCTAATAATTTTGCCATGTCGAATATTTCGGAAGAGTTTTCTATTAGATCAATTTGCGACACCTTTCTTTGTATCTGCGGGGATGGTCTGCTGCCTGGTGAATGGAGTAGATGCGCCGGAAGACTGATTTTGCGCACACGGTGTTTAATGGCGTCATTTGGGATCTCATTATCGCCGTGTCGACGTTGCACTTTCAAATTATCGTCAAACGGCATTTCAGAAAAGGACTTGCTATCGGTGTGGCCCGCTGCAACAGACACCTTTCTTGATCGAGATACGAACGAGTTTTTTCTACTCAAAGTTGAGTTGCGTCTTGAGTTGACGACAGACGTAATATGTTGGCCAGTCAGGTTAGGAAATATGAAGTGTTGATCAATTGTGGGATTGGCCACCATGCTGATCTTCTTACTTCTCTGAGGGCTCAACTTCACCTGTAAGTCTGCAAATTTCAACATAATTTAGTCACGCATGAAGTCCACTTGTCCCCATGGTATGCTTATGTATATATGGTTAGTAATAGCACTGGCGGATCCAGGGGAGGCCCTCCTACCACTAGAATATTTTTTGCAACATTTTTGGGCATTATTTGGCATTTGTTTGCCTATTCGGATCCCCCCCCGTTGATAGTCAGTGAATAGGGGTTCAAAGACTTGGGTAAAGACTGCACATTAGCCAGAGATTTGATTAAGACGACGCATTAGTCAGACAAGAGAAAGAATAAATAATTGTTTGACAAATGATACAATATAACAGCGGCACGGGAATGTTTAGATTTGTCCAGCAACTTTATGATGATTCAGGTAGATGCAATCAAATGTATACATCACTTTATCCGATTTGGAAAAATTGAGCCTCGAAATTTTGATCAACAAACTTAATTTCACTAATCCAGACGAGTGATTTTTCATATGAAAAGTAATGTGAGATTATTAATTTTTATACAATGAAACCAACTTTTTAAAAAAATAGCACACTGCAAGTTACATTGACCCGGCTATCCAGTTTTAAAAGTAAATTAGGATAAGCACGCAAAAGATATTATCAATTTGATCAAAAGATATCATCAATTTGATCAAAAGATATTATCAATTTGATCAAAAGATATTATCAATTTGATCAAAAGATATTATCTAATCAGTGCTTATGCCATTTTAACGTCTAATTATCTAAAAGTAATGAAACGTAATAGTTCTTTTTTCTAACAGCACGCGTGCTATTCAGTTATTTATCTTTAATCAAATTAATAAACATAAGTGCTCACATTTTAGCACCCCCCCCCCCTTCCCCATTTTTAGATTTGAAACCGAACCTAGAATTGAAAGCTCTAGAGCTAATTAAAGTCAAAGTGTAATAATGCCAGAAATTAAACGATGTAACTTTTTACTTTACATCAAGCATAGAAGATCTCATTTCTCATAAATACCATTCCATGTTTCTAAAAACCCAATTTTTCTTGTTTTTACTATTGGGAATGTTGTGCTGGGATATGTTCAGAATGCACCAGCTGAGAGGGTCTTTTGAAAATTTTCTGGAGGCATGCCCCCGATCCCGCTAGATTGCTAGATTGTACCCGAAACCTCACTTGTCATAGGATAAAAAGGTATACGGAAAATGGGTGGTGAGCTTCACTAATTCTCTGCCGATCAAATAAGTACAACTAAGAACAGCAAAGAAAAATACTCATTAAGCTAAAAAGCAGTACAATAGAGTCCAACAGGGAACATAATCTAACGGAGAACATAAAACTTGATATTTGGAAATAGCATCATTATCAATATGATACTTACCCTTTGTATTCATACAGTCGTATTTGATAATTTCAAAAAAAGAATACGAAAACGAGGAAGAGGCAAATACCGTAAGAAGGGGCAAATACCGTAAAATGATACCGATTGTATTTTTAACCTCGTAAAATACATGGTTAACAGATATACGCACCTTTGTCTATGTCAAGTAAAACTTTGCTAGATGGTCTTGAGCATCCAGAAGGTCGTCTACGGCCACCTTTTGTTTCTAAGTGTTGGCCGAAAGTTGACTTATTAGTGCTCGATCGCCGTGGCCTGACAGAGTTTTTGCGCTATAAAAACCAAATATAAGAGGCTTAATGTTAACAATGATTGAAAATACATTTAACAGTGAACAATGATTAAAGATGTATTTAGAAATCAAAATGGAATTCGAATCCAAACAGATCTCAAAAATGATTTTTGTATACAAATTGAAGATAAAGAAAAGATGAACGTTACAAATGTCCAACCAATCGGAAACTTACACTGCTCCTTTTTAGCTGATCTTCCGCTGTACCTTCTTCCATCATTCGTCACTTATATCCACTCCTTTCCAAATATCGGCAGTAATTTTCTGGTCAGATTTATCTATCTAGCTGGCAAGTTTACACTCAAAGACTCAGATATCATTTATTGGACTGAATTTTATGTTAAAGAAAATACATTCACTTAAGGATGCGATAATTGCCAGGCCGTTCTCTTCAATTATCACATTTGATAGCGTCAACAAAGTAATTCTACATTACCAATACGTCATAGCAAGATGTATATTGGTATATTGGTAGATATCTTCTTCAAATCAACTTTCACATGACATTCTGTTTAAAATACACATACTTTAGTAGGAACGAAGGGTCCCCAATTCCCCATGCACCCGAAAGATATACTTTTTTTATTTTATAAACCTTTACGATGTCTTTTCAAAGAATTTTGATGTTAACATTGCCCTCTCTGGCCCAATTCTTTTTTCAGTGGTTACATACCCTCCCTCTCCAAGTACGCACCCCTATTAGAGGAAATATTTTTTATTTCTTCAGTATCATTTATATTTTTATTTCTTTATATGACAAACATAGAAATACCATTGATCAATCATTTTAAAGAAAGATTAATGCAGATAGCTCTTTCGAACCTTGACTATTATCAAAAAGTGGGTACCTAAGGGGGCAAAATTACGAGCTGTTTTCATACAATTTTTATATACCTTTGTTAATAGGCAATGACAGGTGGTAAAATAATTTATGTAAAGAGCTTATACCAATTATCCTGGAAGAATTGAAGTCTTTGCTTCACAAATGACCGAGAAAAAATTACGCTTTTTCAAAAATTGATATTTTTCATATTTTACGCAGAAGAGCTGCTTGAGGAGAGCACACAATAATATATTAAAGACATCATCAAAATACAGGTAAATTTTATCCAAAATACTGAGTTAAACGTGACTTGCACAGCCTGACAATGCTTAACATTAGGCCGAGTCGGTACTTGTTCCAGCTATTGTACTGATATGAATGTCATTCTTCTGTTGCTTGATCGGACTAAGTCTGGCCTTTTTAATGTGAACACCATTATTTTTAATAACAGTAGGTTCATCACTGCCATTAGCGTCGTCACCTTCCACTGCGTAAACAGACGGATGGTCACTGTCTATTTTATTCCCAAACTGTTTTGCTTTTCGCAGTTGGAGTTTCCCAATAAAGCTCGCAGGTATTTTAGACTTTCTCCATCTGTTTTGATTTCCATGGTAAGAGGTCATACCCGTGTTTATGTTCAGCTCCTCCTTGCTTACACAGTAAAGGGCATAGACTTTTGGAATGTACAGACAGGCCAAGATCACTGTTGAATTCGCTATCATTGCGGTTGAGAGGAACGCAACTTTGTAGTAAGCATTAGATGTCGAGCTGAAGTATGTGGCGATAAAGGCGAGCCACATCAATATAGTGGTATAGACGCAGAAGCTAATGAACCTAGACTCGTTGTAATTGTTTGGTAGTTTTCTTGTTTTTATGGCATAGAATGTACATGATACCACTAGAATGAGGTTGTAACTGAGAGAGAATAAAAAGGCTGAATTGGGGAAAAAGCAGATCAACTGTACTTTGCGTCTATCTGGCTGAAACTCCATGGCGTACGACGTATCTTTAGTGACGATTATAACCACAATAATAATCACCATCTGAAATTGAATAAAAAACAATTCAATAAAAACTACTTCGTGCATAATACTTAATATGATACATAGCAGTATGGCTTTATGTATTAAAATTAAGCTTGGGATCGGAAGACTTACATGGATTCCAATAATGGAAAATGCAATGATGAGCTGTGACCTTCCATCCACCATTTTAGGCCTTTTTACGGACCTCTTTCCGGAGTCAAAGATTCTGTATATACGATTAGTACGTGTCACCAATGGGGCGTACAATGTCGTGAAGGTCAGGGCAAATCCAACATAGTTCATCAAACATACACCTTGACTAGGCCTCACGAGCTGAAGAAACACAAAAAGGAACGTGATAATAACCCCCGCCATCATCAGATAGGATAATTCTTTACTGCAGGCCTTGATAAGGACGTCGTCTTTGTTGATGATAAACACCCCTAAAACCATCAGTGAGATCACAATTCCTATTGAGGCAAGTGTTGAAAGTGTTATTCCCAATGGGTGAGAGAATTCTACATGAATAGGCTCGATTGGAATGCATTCATTGAAGAATTGTTGATCTGGCCAATACTTTTTGGGGCAGTTTTTGCATGCGATATAACCATCTCTGACATAAGTCATTTGGTCTTGATCGCATTCTTCACACAACCAACAACAAGGTTTCACATCCGGAATCTGTTTGTAATGCACTGGGCATGGATCGCTACAATACGACTCCGGGACAGAATTTCCCGCATTTAGTATCTGTTGTTTGAACTGCACGTCCGCCCCATTAAATAACAAGGATCTGCTTTGGGAGCTCCATGTTGCCACCGTGTGTATCTCATAGTTACCCTCAGAATTCCGTTGTAGGTTGTTAATGGTGTAGTTTGCTAGTCCATCTCCATTCTTATCAAATTGAATTGCTCCTGTCTCCCCTTCAAATGACGTATTTTTGAGATACGACAACAATCCTTTACCAGTAACACAATTCATTATTTCAAACTTATTCATATTAGAACAGTTACCTTTAATGTAAGCATCAAGTGCATACGCATACGTAAATACAGAGTCCATAACAAGAGAAGTAAAAATTTCAGGTTTGTACCCATTAGATTCAGACCATGTTAAGTTCGACGGACACAGCAGACGGTGCGAAGGTGTTGAGTTAAAGCCATTAATCAAGCACATGAAGTGATTTTCCCAAAAATCGTTGAACCATGGATTGTCATAATGTGATTCCGGAGTGAGAGATTTAAAATGTTCATCAAATCTATCAACTGTATTCGAGGCAATCTGGACACTTAGTAGCCCATGTGCAGTTTCTTCCAGGTGTTCGAGATCTTGTATGTTCCTGCCCCATGCGTCGCTACCAATAAAAGTAAAGTTGTAGTGGTATCCGCCTGCTCTTACGGCTATCAAAACAGATTGTGCGATCACAAGAGGAGCAAATATTATAACCACCCTAGCGTTTTCAGAAGACAATGTAGACACCAGTTCCATGTAATCTAATGTATCATAGTCCTGTGACACTTCAATGGTGGCAGCGAGGCAGATGTTATAATTAAAAAGAAGATTCCTTATGCCTTTAAAACCTCCAATGCCATAGGTACTATCTGCGTATACTATAGATACATAGGTCCAGTTGAAGTGAACAAGAAGATCAACGATCGCCTTTGCTTGGTACCTGTCAGAAGGGACCATGCGCATGAAATATGGATACTGAAATTTGTTGGTTAATGATGGTGTTGTCGCTGTGTAACTTATCTGAGGAGTACGCAAGAGTGTCATGACATCCGCAATTTGGAGAGAATTCTGACTACCTTCGGCTCCTATCGTTCCAATTACATCATAATATAAAGGTGGCGATCCAGGAAAACTCGACGCACATGTACATTCACATGTTTTCGGAGTCTTTGCGAATAACAAGACTTGTGCAAGTGCAGTTGTTGGCTTGTAACAGTCATCCAAGACTACAAACCCTAAGGTTATGTTTGGCAGTAAATCTGACCTATTGTTAACTTCTTTAACGGCAAACGCGAGCGCCTCCATCCTCTGGAGCACGCCTAATTCTCGTAAGTAAATGCTACAAAACCTAGTTGGGTGATAACGGTGAACTGGAAAAAGTGCACCAATGTTCAAGTCGCCCAGTCTAGAATACCGATCAACTATTAATTCGTCGTCCATGCCGGATCGAATTGAAGGACTTGATTCGCTCCACCACGCCATTACATTGAGCATGTAAAGCTGCAATATGAAACTAATTGACATGTTATTTACTTGATAAAACAATGAAAGTCATTATACTTTTTTCATTGCTTTTTCAACGAATTTCGCGGACCTCTGTTTTTTCGACATCATCATCAACATAGGTGAAGGTTTCCAATAAAACGTCTATGCTACTACAAAGTTATCTGCTTTTATTGGTTCTAAACCATGCGTGTATCAATTATTTGGAGATCAAGAGAAATCCAGATCAATGTACCAATCGATGTCACTCAAACCGTTATTCTTACACCCGTGTCACATCATCAATAGTTGCTTTTATTGTCCGTGTGTTCACCTTTATTCTGAAACAAGAAAGGAAGTGAGTTAGGAGTAATATAAGTCATCAAATCTGCGCAGATTAGTCGTTGTTATAGCAAAGAATTCAAAATGTCGACCGAGCTTAATAATGCTCCAGTACTTGAGTGAAACACAAACTGGGATGAAGGTAAACATATTGTTAGATGAGAATGTAATTTACCCAATCAAGATTTATCATTAGAAATTTTCATTAAGTCCAGAGAGGAGACAATGTTAAGTGTTATGTATGCTATAATGAAGCTCATATATCACAACTACACGACTAATAGATTGGATACCAGATAGTGTATCAAATCAAAATTGAACATATAAAGCATGAAGAATTACAAAATAATAAAGAAAAGTGGTGTTCCTTATTCCAATATTTTTATATAGCTTTGGTCTCCAATTATCAATCTCAATTTTATGTCACCGCCAATGTGACATACTGTTATGGTCTCCAGCTTTTTCTGGGCGGCGGTCAGCAACTCTTGTAACAAAACCCATGGTCTTTCAATTGTGTTTAGACTGACTTCAATTTTTTTAATCATCTACAAGTTTTCAGAAGTTCAAACCTGACTTTACATTTGAGATTTGACCCTCAATGACCTTATCTACACATTCTTAGAAGTCTGACTTTACATTTGAAATTTGACCAATGACCTTCTCAAGGTCGAAAGGGTCAAATTTCATGTGATAAAATGCTTGTAACAAAATTTAATTTTACAACTTCCAATAATTTAACAAGTAACTTAACAAGTACCGTTTAGACTGGCTTCAATTTTTTTCAAAATCATGTTCAAGTTCTCAGAGGTTCAAATCTGACTTTAGATTTGAGAACTTGCCTCAAATTGACAATTTTTTCAAAATCATTTACAAATTCTCCGAAGTTCTAATCTGACTTTAGATTTAGGATTTAACCTCTATATGTAACAATTGTTACACTTTTGTAACCATTTCCAGGTAGTGACATTTTGTCATATTAATGCCTTGTCATATGTAGTTCAGATCACCTAATGCTCTATCCTGTTATACTTATGATATGCTCTATTGTATAAAATCACGATAATTACACAATAAAAGGAGAGTAATGTTACCATCACATTGGTGTTTAGCTATGTTAATAAAGGCTAATGTAAATAAATACCTTTTACATTCTATTTGCTGCTCTTTTAACACACAATCAATGAATACCAATATTGGTTGGCTTGTCATTAGTTTAACATTCATTGAGTCTCTTAAATTATTAAATCATTTTGGAAAATGTCTGCAAAATGTTTTGTGTCGTACACCCCTGAAATGTATGTTTGGACGCGTTGTAAAGCGTTGAGTGCAGTTCCCTCTGTTGATGATCCTTATATTCTGCGAGAACCGTAATGAACCTTACGCATGCCGTTGTCACTGCCACTCGTGTCCGTGTACGTGCCCATATTCTCCTTAGTTTTGGTATTACAAGAGACGTATCCGCAGATTCTTGTGGTTTTCCCCAACTTCAGACACCATCTGTCTTTCTTCTGACGTCGTCCGCGTCTTAAAAAACGAGTACATAACGTTATAAAAAGTACCTTAATTTTTTTAGAGCTGGATAGATTGATTGAGATATCCTATATTTGATTTATAGTTTAATAACATAATGACTTTAACAGTATCCGCAGTGACGGTTATTATAGATTTTTGTTTATCTAAAATGAATATTTGGCCTTATATCCAAGTCGCCTTTAATCTTCCTCGTTGGTGCTCCACTCGTTCAATGATCAATGTTTTTTTGAAGTGTATATTGTGTTGGAGTCGGTTAACTGTGCAGGCAATACTTTTTTATGATATGCAGTCACTGTTATGGAGTAATGGAATGTATGTTTAATAGCCAATACATGATGGGAGTCATAGGACCCTATTGTTTTAGCCCTTGTGTTATGAGCTTGTGTATTAAAGTCAATAATCAATTGTTCATTTAAGAGGTTGTCGATCTGAACAGTCATAAAATAATGTAAATGTTCCCTTTACAGTCAAGTCCAGTAACTAAGTCAACATTCGAAATCCGTATGTTCATCGATATTTACTAAGAATTGTGCCACAATTGAAGTAAACCTCTGGTTAATTATTTTCAATATACCTATCAGCAAACGTATAAATTATAATTTTGATGTTCTGTTACATATCTGTGAAGCAATCTTGGGAATATGGCCTAAATTTCTGAATTTTCACTATGTCCCTGTATACCCCTACTTCAAGAGAAGTATGTTATTTGTCATTTCTCATTTTGAACCAACCATGTATTTTTTCTTGTTTACATATAGAATGACTTAAAGTTCTGTTTTCGAATATTGACAGATATGGAGCAAACAGATGCGTATCGATTTACACTGTAATATCCTACATACTTATATTTCAAGGGTAGTTTTGAAGAATAATCAAGAAAATGCATGTTTTCAAATGGATTCATCCTTGTCAAAGAACGTAGATGAGGATATGCGGTTTGAAAAATTAACAACATGATTCAAGTTCTTACAATTCTTGGTTGAAACAAATATTTTGAAAGTTGTGATTTCGAATGTAATCTCCTACTATATAAAAATTGTTGATATTTCTGAAGTTTTTCTTTCGGAATACACATTGCTGGATCACAGAACCTTGCCTTCTTCGAGATGCACAAAAAGTGTATTGTTAATACTTGACGTCGTTTGGATATTTGGATATTTCAACAGAGGAAAAATTAAAATTTGCAAGCGATACATGAAAAGAGTTAAGGATTATGAGCTGCTTTTAAAGTCCCCATATAAAGTTTAGACCGCTTTGGCTAATATTACATACTCTTACCCAATTATATCAAAGTGTGATATGTGAAAAAAATGAAAAAGTGGTTTTCGAAAAACTTTTTGTTCCAAAAAATCGTGAATCTATTCAAAATTTACTTTTAGAGGTCACAAATATATTTTAATAAGCAAGCGATAATTCACTCCAATGCATAACCTGCCAAATAGTAAATGAATGATAGAATCTGGAACGGACTGAAGCTGACAAGTGTTCCCTTTTTTACTTTATTACGTTTATCTGTCTTTTTTCTAGAAATGCCATTCCGTTTTATCTCATTCAAAGAAATATAGATTTTTAATTGCATTTAATTTAGAGTTATTGATTGTAAAACTCATACATTTCACAGATATTTACATCTTATGTTTCACCATTGCCGCAAATAGAAGCTCATTGAGATCTCATATTTGGAACAGTAAAAGATACCTGATTATTATAAAAATCGTAAATGTAAATTGAAGTATTGTCACTATCACGTATACTAGATAGTACAAGTACCTCTAATTCTAGATTAATGCTTCGTGGCAATCATTTTGTCGAAAAATAGAGGCCGCTGGATCGATCCCAGGAAATGTTTCAATTTTTGTTTGGTATGAATACATGTACACATAGATGGAAAAGATGTCACTCAGAACAATCTCCGGACGTACCAGTATATTAGTATTCCTCAAGGAGGATTGGCTCCCAGGATCGAAACTCGATATTTTCCAACAATGAAAACGTCGAAATGTCGTTATTTTCTGAAATTAAAACCGACTATAAATTCAAAATAAACAGTTCAAAAGATTCGAACCAATATCTCGATCGTTTCTTGTGAGTTTTGGAATTTTTCGTTTGGAAATAAGGCCAAAATTCACGATTTAAATGTTGAAGTGAACAAAATGGCGGCTGTTTGAATTCGAATTTTGTATTACGACATACCCATATATGGGACAGAATATCGGTGGTGCACTCTGGGAGCCAATCCTCCTTGTATTCCTTATACATGTTATAGTCTATGGAGAGTATTGAATAATACAGGCATTCGATTAACTCTGGTGGGCCTCTGGTGTATAAAATCACAGTTAAAACTAATAAATGAGACAGATCACGAAAATCATGTACCGATGGGAAACCAAATTACAAATGAATTGGATTAAGTACTGTTTTGAATGTCAATATATACTATAAACAGTAAAATCATTAATAATGCACGATAGGCAGGCAGAAATCATTGCTGAACACTGCAGTATGGAACCCTGTTTATATTAGTTTCTCGAGATCATTGGATTAGTAAGTACCATCAAAGCTAGTAAGTTATTGACAAACCGTTTCTACCATCACATATATATTGAGAATGGTATGGAAATGTTACATATATTTATAACTTCAATATGGATATATAATAAGGGACTATCATGAATTGCAGGTACCAGGCTAATGAAGAGTGATTTTTGAACATCACGGGTACAAATACAGGTATGTTTGAAATTCATTAGATTTTATCAATTATGTTAAATACGTTTGCTTTTATATTTTTGAATGTTTGTTTCAACGTGGTGTTTGTTCATTTTTGCTTGGTGTCATTGTAGACTATCTTAACGTATTTGAGATCTATCAGATAGCAAAGATCAAAGACTAGGAACTAGAGTCTGCTCATATGATCTGGTAATAGTATGGTCGTTCATGTATTTGACGAACGCATAACATCAATAAAAGGAACGTCTACCTGCATCAGGAGCATGGAATCATCGGTGACTGTTTCATGTTGCTAACGTTAAATTGATCTGCATTGTCGTGGTTTAAGATTACTTCAAATGAGTAGTAAGCCCCAAATATTACAATGTCACGGTTTTAACACCCTAAAAACATGTGATAGCTAGTTCCTTGACATAGATAATTCCCTGGGTCAATGCCCTCTGGTCCAAATAGCTGTTTTATATAAGAGGGAAATGGAGGAAATTGAAATTACTCAAAGGTAGGTTGCACACTTGAGAAGCATTTCCAAGGCTTTTGGGAGAACATCAAATGTTTAGCTATGAGCAGCCTGAAAATTGTAGTAAGTAAACTGTAATTCAGTTAAATGTAATTACTATTTCTAGATAATTACTGTGATCATCCAGGGAATCGATACAAAAAATAGACGATTATGCCTGTGCTAACACAATGAAATGTAGTCGCATTAATTCTGTAAAGAAAAAGCAATTCCCACTTTTTCCCCAATTCCGTGAGTGTCAACATTTGTTTTTTATTCATGAGGCTTCTAGTATTGTTTATCCCATACCAACTAATACTTATCAAGTCTTCTGTGAATGTTTCATACATAGTATTTTATGTCAACATCACCGGTTTCTCAAAAACCGGAGGGGAGGGTTCTTTCGGTAAATGTAGTGTTTAGGGGCCAAATTTTGCGTCTATAGCAACTAGACGGACAGACGCACGCAGACGGACCGATGGACGGGTAGACGCCTTGGTGGTCACATAATGTCGAACACAGACTCACTTTGTGAGATAACAATGATTACAATGAGGTTCACTGGCTTTATATCCCGTGAATAATGCAAACTATATATTCTAATCTTCACATTTTTGTGAAGATGTTCTCCTTGAACGATTACGCGCTGATATCATGCAAAATTTTGACTACAGACTGGCAACAATTAATAATTTAGTTGTTTTTGGAACTTCTGATAACATTGGGCAATGTGACAGTATTGTATTGTATTATATATGTCTAAATTACCCATCTTCCGTACTTTGCGGGAGATCTCTCCATGGGGCTATCTACCGCACTATTCGTCTTGGGAGTCAGGTCTTCGCGAACTACCAAGCATGGTCGGGAGTCAGATACCTCACCACCCCTTTTCTATCATGGGAGCTATCTACTGGGCATATTCGTTTGTCTGATCAGCAGCATGTGTACAGGAGTCAGATACCTCTCTTTACGTAATACTTCATTACGTAACGTCATTAATTACCGTATTCTTGAACTTTGAATGCCACTTTATATAATAGCGCGTATGATTAGCACCATACGCGCCCCAAGCCAAAGTAAATGTTAGGTTACTTTATTCTAGTTTTGTTTTATGTAAATATGTTATCTGTATGACTTTATGAATCATAAACATGTATGTCATTATCTCTATTTGATTGTTATGTTATTTATAAATTGTACATTATAAATATCAGGCTAAGTATATTGTCGTAGTGTTTGTAAAACATGTTTAGTACGCTTTTTGAAAGAACAAAATATTTTGTAATAATTTGTATAACGTATGCTTTATAACCCTGAACTCAAAATAGTCTAGTAGGAAGGTATGATCCCATGCACCCCAAAGATGTATTTTTTAATGTACATTTTTGTAATCCTAAAGCTCCATACTTAAGATTTTTGCATGTTCCCAGAATGAAATATTGTCCCATGGTATCCATTGGCGGCCATCTTGAATTTTTGAAAGAGTTGATGTTAATTATCTCAAAGTACAATAACTAATTGCCTAATTGATTAAACTTTTTTAAAACTAAACTAAAATGGTAGTTTCATTTTTATACACAGAGTTCGAGGTCAGACTATTAGTTTTAAAGGGGGACAATGTGACACATCATTTGTCCTTAAATAGTAGGATGGTAATGAGAAATGACACTACCAGACCTACGTTTGTGAGTAATAGTTGTGATGTTGACCCTTTGAATTGCTTATGGACTTCGAGACTGGATTTCGTCTATCCCACATCATATTTTATGATGAGTACTCGTATCTACAACTATTTTTGAAGTTATGAGTATTGGCTATCATTTGTTTCCTCAACATGTATTGTAATGACTTCAGTAAGAATGAAATGTCTCTTAG